GCACCCTCATGCGGCTGGAGAACGAGGACCATTTCATGCATATCGGGATGTCCGAGTGCAGCGGTGCAAGTGCACTCGGTATGTTGGCATGCATATAATTTAGCAGTGTATGCGAAACTCCCACCGTGATAACAGATTCTCTGGCCTTAGTCTACTTGGGCACGTCTCCTTGTCTCTCTTGTCGCCAACACGGCCTCAGCGTTCACTCATTTGAATGGAGATGTTCCGACGTCGGAGCGCGCTGAGTCCATGTTCCCGCACAGTTTTCCGCAGACTGCTCGGGAAGCCTTCTCTTCGCCGTTTCGTGTACTTACTACCAAGGACTGTTGGTGAAATCATCGCATTCCAGAACTTAGATAGAAATGTCCTCGAGATCTCTGTATCAGGTGTGGCGGCGGCGGCGCTTTGCCAGAGCGGCTGTGGGAGTTTAAACCTTCGTCGTCTCGCGAGCAGGCTGAGAGATCCTCTGAGTGCACTCCTTGGCAGTTGCTGCTCGCGTCGCTCAGAGGAAAGTCAAGGGGTCAGGGCAATACCCAAGGGAAGCCTGAGACCGCGCCAATGCGCCATCGCCCAGTTTGACGCGGAGCCTGAATATGACAACGCGCCCGCCGCCCTGGCCCCCCGAACCTGTGTAGCGCGCGCACAACCCGGCGTGACTACTACTACATCTACCTCTCATCGGTCTGCGATCAGCCCTCGAAATCCACCCTGCTGCTCTTCGATGGACTCAGAGCGTCTTCCCATAGAAGTCGCCGAGCAGGTGATCGACGCGCTCGGCGCCAAGACCGATCTCGCCACGCTCACCTCCTGCGCCCGCGTCCACACGAGATGGCTCCCCAGAAGTCGCATCCACATATGGAGAAAAGTCGAAGTCTCCAGCTTGGAGACACTCCACTCGATTCGTGAGACACTTCAACGCTTGCCGGACTTGTGTTTGTGGGTCCACACCGTTCAGCTCATCATCGGAATGTGGGAGAACTTACGGTCATGCCCCTGGGTTGCACCTGTGGTACTCCTTCCATATCTTGCGCATATCGACACATGGGAAATTTCATTCTGTGACAACGGATTTCCTTCGACTGTCTTGGCTTGCTTTCAGCGATACACCGCAGTCAAGAACTTGGTCATCCACGCCTCTCGCTTTCCCACACCACTCCATCTGTACCGACTAGCCCACGCGTTCCCCGCCCTCCAGTCGCTTGAACTACTCGGTATCGGCTGCAGCGCTCGCTCCCCTGACCAGGCGCTCACCCCAATAAAAATGCGAGGGAGCCTATCGCATCTCAAGGTGAGATGAGACAACGAGTTGATTGCATGAACACAATGGAAAATATTGAAATGTCTGGGTTCTGCAGCTTTATGGCACTGGGGTTCTCGGCGGAGCCTCAAACACAGACCAGCAGCTTGTCGAGACGGTCCTTTCCGGAACTAGGTCAACGTTGACACACCTTGAGCTCAGCCTGGAATGGCTCACTGTAGAAGGTACATGTACACGTTCATCACACAATGTAGCTTCTGACTCACCCAAGTTGTCGACACTTGCAGGCCAGTTACCACTTGCAAGCTGCACCAGTCTTGAACGTCTCTCTGTGAGAGTGTCCGAGAGCGACGATTTAGAATGCCTCTCCGAACCCTCATCGCTCCAGGAACTGAATGCATTAATGGACCTTGGTCTCCCGCAATCGCTACGGGCTCTGGATATCATTCTAGAAAGATATGTGGCCTATACCATTGGTTCAGAGCACAGCAGCGATCAACAAACGACCCTCCACAACTTCACACGGCTTGTGACGGACCATAGCTTGCTTGGGACGAACGGAGTCAAAATCATAGTCAGAGACTCAGCGCAGAATCTCGTGAATACATGGAGGGCATCGTTGGAGCGTGCGTTTGCGTCACTCCACAAGCTGACACTTCTGCAGGTTGAGTTCGTGTATTCCGGTGTGTCTCGCTGCACACTCAATCGTTCAACCTCTGCTAAATCCTGAATCATCATAGAAGGGTTCTCACCTGAACTGTACGGGCATCCCACTCAGGTGGAGCATCTGACCATCTCTCGGGATGGGAGGTGGGCAGCCAGTGTGGCATACTCAGAGGACTGCCAGGAAATACCATCCGCACAACAGCCAATCATCATCTGGGATGTTTGCACCGGAGGGCGACTCGCTTTACAGTGTTGGTATCGCACTCTACCGCCGCCATCCTGGCAAGCCTATAGCAATGACGCGCTCGCCTTCTCTCCGTCAAGCACTCGCCTCTTTGGTCGTTTCCGCAATCAAATCATCATCTTCTGTCTTCCTCACATCGAAAAGGATAGAGATGCCTCTGATAGCGAGCCCCGGGAAACGGGAATCATCAAGGCACCCGAGCTCGAAGAGATCGTCGCGTCGAGCTGGTCCCCAGATAGCGCCCAAATCCTCGCCCTGATGTCCTCGATGGCCCTTCACTTTTGGGATGCGGAAGGCCTGACCCACCTTCGCCTGCTTCAGAGGGACCTCAGTACGCTAGAGTATATAATGACACCTATTAGGTGTCAGATCAATTGGCATGTGCCATATACCTGCGCGCAAAGAAACCACCATGTGACGAGATAGGCCGCAGGCCGCCACGCGCGAAGCGCCCGGCAAAACTCAAACTGCATTTAATCTGTTTCGAACACGGGTATCCGGGATGTACTTGCCGCTCCACCAACTGCACCATCAGGCTGTTTATAGCGCTCAAACTTGAAGTTGTATAGCCTCATTCAAAGGTAGTTATGAACACTTGTACTCACAGAGGGCTTGTTTTTCGCACTTGCACAAAACGCTCCCCAGCTGCATGGATGGCGCTTATCTTAATGGTACTGATTGTGCACCTGCCAATTAGGCCGTGGCACATCCCAGCGCCTATCTCTGATAGCCGCGGCAGTCAGCGCCTTCCCCCGCGCCGCCGCGCCGCTTGCCTTGATGGCCCCGATATCTCCGGACGCTCCGCACCGCCGCGTCTCCGCTGGCGCCTCCCCGCCCCGCCCCCCGTGCTCGTCGTCCCCGACAGCGAGCTCGCTGTCCCGCCGCCCCGCTCTCCCCTCTCATCCGTTTCCCTCCATTCCTTTTTTTATCCACCTGCATTCCCAATGCGCACATAATGGTATATAATGCAACACCCTCACTCAGCTGGGTGAGCCTGCATTGAGCTCTTATACCCCCAAAATGCGTGCAACATAGGAACTTATAGAATAGATCAATCGTCTGGCTAATATATGCATCAGATAGTATTATGTGAGCGTGTCTTTCATCTGAAATCGCAGGTGGATAGCTGGAAGGGTGCAAGTATGATGTCATATGTCATTTCAAGATGACATATTCCATAGTGGTATGGTATATATGTTTATCGTCATATGTACACCTAGAATCATACATAGAGATCATTCAGAGCGTATTGCACAAAGCAGCAGGTAAAACGACGATATTTTGGTGAAGATATGACATGTGCTCAGAAGGGAGGACTGCATTGAAAATGCGGCCATCATATGTTCTTGTGCAGACGTCCAATCATTGTACCTTTTGCTTCATTGCGTTCCTAAGAACTTATAGAGCCCAGATCGCCAGTTTCGTGCTTATCGGTGGAGGATTGAAGATAGGGTATGGTATGTCATTATTCTATGACATAGTGTATAGCAAGATGACATGTGCTCCGATTACTTTTCTGAAAGGTGGAATAGAACGGGGTAGTCTTTTCCTCCCCGATGCAAAAGTAATCACAAAAAACGGCCAAGAAACGGTGGAGATATGTCAGAGGAGCCTATTTTGGCGGGTTGTGCAGAGGACGCTCTTAAACCACCTACACTGCTTGGCACAATCTAAGCTCCTCTAACGTATCTCCACCGTTTCTTGGCCGTTTTTTGTGATTACTTTTGCATCGGGGAGGAAAAGACTACCCCGTTCTATTCCACCTTTCAGAAAAGTAATCGGAGCACATGTCATCTTGCTATACACTATGTCATAGAATAATGACATACCATACCCTATCTTCAATCCTCCACCGATAAGCACGAAACTGGCGATCTGGGCTCTATAAGTTCTTAGGAACGCAATGAAGCAAAAGGTACAATGATTGGACGTCTGCACAAGAACATATGATGGCCGCATTTTCAATGCAGTCCTCCCTTCTGAGCACATGTCATATCTTCACCAAAATATCGTCGTTTTACCTGCTGCTTTGTGCAATACGCTCTGAATGATCTCTATGTATGATTCTAGGTGTACATATGACGATAAACATATATACCATACCACTATGGAATATGTCATCTTGAAATGACATATGACATCATACTTGCACCCTTCCAGCTATCCACCTGCGATTTCAGATGAAAGACACGCTCACATAATACTATCTGATGCATATATTAGCCAGACGATTGATCTATTCTATAAGTTCCTATGTTGCACGCATTTTGGGGGTATAAGAGCTCAATGCAGGCTCACCCAGCTGAGTGAGGGTGTTGCATTATATACCATTATGTGCGCATTGGGAATGCAGGTGGATAAAAAAAGGAATGGAGGGAAACGGATGAGAGGGGAGAGCGGGGCGGCGGGACAGCGAGCTCGCTGTCGGGGACGACGAGCACGGGGGGTAGGTCGGAAGCGCGCGACGTGGGCGTGGGAGATAACGTGGGCGCAAGCGGGAGAGATAACACAGGCTGATGGGAGATCTGATAACATGTTCGTGGGCGCAGTGAATCCATAACAACATATATGGGGAACCCTGCAAGGACGCGTAGCTCAGCTGTATTGCTGAGCCGCGCTTTGTTTATGCCATGGCGGGGTTCTAATCTCGGAAGATGCAAGTCTTTTATAGGCGCCCGCTGTGCGCACACAGCCCGCGCCTACCCATATGCCCCAGGAATTGGCACATGCCCATTGTTCCGACACCTAATAGGTATTGGTATATATATAGGTGTACTGAGGTATATGCTGCTTCACTGTCCTTCATTCCCAGGCCAAATAAACAGAGTTCATATGTCAACACACCCCGGCCCTTACGCTCTGATCCACCTCGACGCCGGCTTCCCGAACTGCAACCACATCCATGTCGTCGATCTGGTTTCAGGAGAGTTTCACCCCTGTCTGGTCAACTTCCCGAGCCATTCCGATGCCGAAGAATATGTGTCTCAAGCCGTGCTGCGATGCGGCTCCGAGCGCGGCGACTTCACTGTGCTCGCACTGTCGAGTACCAGTACCCTCGTGGCAGTGGGCTGCGGCGAAGAAGACGCACTCGGCTCTTCTACGCCCGCGCCTTTGGCGCTGTCACTCCGACACGGGCTCACTCCCAAGGCTTTATCCGCCGATGGCACTCGCGCGTTGTGTTTCGTCAACGCGTCGGGGCCTTCCGGCCCTCCCCCCGCCGCTCCTCAGTTCTGCGTTGTGGACACCGTCACCGGAGAGATATTATCGGGGCCATTCGGAGGCGAGCGACTTTCGGGAATCATTGGTGAAGACCCCGGAATGGATATCATGCCGTCTGGCTACTCTTCACTGTACTACCGCGGAGGGTGGTTTTGGAGCACGCTGCACGGCAGGCTCTACCGAACTCCCGCTCTCGACCACGAACGGGACGTTCATCGAGTCGCAGTCACGTACGACGGGTCGATGGTCGCATGGTCGGATTGGGATGGGGTCGTGCGCTTTCATCGCAACGTAGGCGACGTTTGAAACCTGCAAAGGACTATCCCACACTGCATTTCACGCCTTTTTTACTGATGTACGCCGACGCGGAAACACCGCGGCATTACCTTGTCTTACCGTAAGAGTGTAAAACACTGTATGTATATATGCACCGTCCTCCCTGCCCCGCGCGCGCCGGCCCTACGACCGACTACCAAGCAGCGTACCTTGACAGCCGCACCGATGGCCGCCTCCTGCCCTTCCACAACGGCCGCGAGCTGTGCAGGTTCGGTCACGGTGACGCGCAGTACCGGGGACAGGGATGACGTCGCGCGCACGAGCGGTGCCATCACGGCAAACCGGCGTCGCAGCGCTGTCGGGAGAAAGGGAATCCATGGTGTCAGCGAGCGCGGGGCAAGAAAAGGGAGCGGGCGAACCTGCAGTTCGCAGCGCCCCACCCACCCACGTCGTCGCTCCAGGACCTCGTGGCAGGTCGCGTCCGCTGGCGTTCGTGAGGCACGCGACGAGCTGCGCCGCCGCCGCCGCTTGGGACCGTCCACCAGCGTGCGGCACGGAGAGCGCGAGACGACTGTATCGCCTTCGAAGCGGTAGATGTAGGAGGTGCGAGCGAGGCCGTCGGGGAACTGGACCGTCGGGCAGAGCTGCTGACACGGGCGTAGATCCATTTTCACGGTCCCGGGTATGGTTCTCGCCCCCGTCGGCAGCGGCAATCGCTCGGCGTCGAAGAACGCGGCTCTTCTTCCTCTGGGGGCGCCCGGATCCCTTCATCCGACCGATGTGAATTGGGAGCGGACAAGCTGAGGAACTCTCGCGGCGTGACGGTGGTCAGCGAGAAGCGCGGGCGCGTGATCTGCGTAAATGGGAAGAGGTGACGGTACCGCTTCAACGGAAGCGGTATGAAGGGCTGCGTGGTGAGCGGTTGGTGTGGATGACTGTATGGTGAACGGCTCCTGGGCAGGGTAATTGCATAGTGAGCGTGGCCAGGGGCCTGTGGATTCTGAGGCCCAGGCGACGGATGCGTTGCGAAGTGGGTGGTACGGGTCCGGGGGAAGAAAGAATCCACTAGTCGGGGGGCAGCTGCATCCGTGCGCATGAGGAGGATGCTATCCGCCCCCGACCGTGCCCGCCGTCAGGTTACTGGATACAGCTGGGGGCTCGGCGTCGGTGAAGAACATCGAGGCACTCGTCCAATCTTCGCCGATGTGTCGCATTTGACATGAAACCGAAGATTGAGCGTGCGGAGCCTGGACATGGTGGCGAATTGCGATGCGTACGATTCGGTCCGTGGGCGATCGGATGTACAGCTTCAAGGAGCGCAACTTCGGCCACCGCAGGCGCTTCAAGACATCCAAGGGAGTAGACATGATGGTGAGTTCGAGCGTTTTGAGGGCCTCGCACACGGCCTCTCGGAGGACGGATAGAGTCTCGACTTCGAGGGGAGCTGTGTGGTACTCGTACTGGGGATACCGGCCGAGAGCGCACTTGAATGACTTGGAAGGAGCGATGGTCGTGAAATCAAAGGCTTCCGAGGGGTTGAGCGTGCTGAGAGCAAACACGAGGGAATTTACGCACAGTTCTCGGAGAGACGAGGCAAAGTGGACCGCCTTCAGCGCCTTCCAGAGAACATCGTGCTGACCGACCCGGGGCCTGGATATCGTGACGGAGTAGAGGTTGGGTATGCGTGCCAGAACATGCGTGAAGTGTGGAGGCGGGTTGAGGACACCTTAGAGCTGAGGATTGGTAGCGTACGAATACGTTTTGTGCCTCACCGCGTCGACGTCCAGGCATGAACACTCGAGAGCGAGCTTTCCCTGCGAGACTAAGATCCCCAGTTCCCTGGATGAAGAAGACAGCTGACCTAATGATGGGTCGGAGCGCAGACGGGATATTTCAACGATTCTCGTCCGGTCTCCTGGGAGTGTTTCAAGTAGAGCAGGAGAACGAGCTGGGCTCGTGCATTGTGCAAATACTTGGAGGTTTAGGAGAGCGATTTGAGCTTGCGAAGAGACTGGACGTGAACCGTTTGGATCAGAACCAACAGAATATCTCCATTGAGCCGAACGAAACAGAGTCCTTTAGACTCACATGTCCGGCTGACCGTAGTACGCTGTGTCGTGGGCCATAGGAACATCGTTTATGACGATAAAATCAAGGTAAATTTCGGCGGAACAGCAAATGTGGTGACACTGGATGAGACTTTCGCGCAACGGCTCACAGAGGAGCAAGATCATAACTTGGTGCGGGGCGCGGATCCGGTCAGTTGTGGCGGAGGAGTGAGCGCGGGCCGCAGGGTGGCTACTGCGCTTGTCCTCCTACCACCATCTCCACTCTGCATATTCACTGATGACACACATCGCTGTGCTCTTCTCCCGTCCCTGCCATTTCAAGCCTATTCGCATACATCACTCAACCCCGCCGTTGACGAAGTTTCCAGCACACCCAGCTTAAGTATCCAACATGAATCATTCGGCACGGTCTTATGTGGCAGGTCGGAAAGTGGCAATTGTGGGTACGTTGTCTTTCTCAGCATCCTCCCGTGCATTACATACCCTACTTGCGTGGTTGCATCTGTTGCGGACGGATGATCTTTCGTCTTCAAGATGAAATCACGTGACCGGGCCACACCCTGCGGTTGAACGTCGAGGCCGATCGCAGATACATATCTATGAACGACCATGAAAACACGCTCGCGATAACGGAAACTAACACAGCTTCACCCTATCTTACAGACACCTTTTGAGGCTGCCCGGGCTTTGCGGCCTCGTTCCACAGCTCCATAATGTGCCACGGCTTCGCAAGCAGACCGCTGAGAAGGGATCTCAAGGTGCGTTCTTCTACTGTCCGCGTTGTTCCTTTCTTAAATTCAACCAGCCACTCCCAGAATGTCCAGCAACCGCCCTTTCGTGCGGGCGAATGTTTCACTCCATCTACGGCTTATGTCGGCTGCTTGCCTCCGTTCATCGCCGAAGACCCGGAGCACCAACAGCGCAACGCGCTCGGGGCGGAATTCAAGGATGCTCAGGGGAAAAAAACAAAGTAGCAGAATGAGGATCGTGACAGGGCGTCGATCTCAGAGAACGCTTCATCCGACAGACCACCGCACCCACAGAGGTGGTTCACACGCCGTTGGAAGACGCAGGTGGCCATTGCTAAGCCACTGCACTCATTGTGCTCCACTACCTGCTGGACTACGCATATATCTTCCCCCAGACTTCTCGTACAGTACCCGCACGACGTCGCACAAAATATTCATTGTCGCTGAACGGGCAAGCTCGGCGTCGAAGACCTTCCGATCCCGATGCCCCACAACACCGACGTGATCGCCAAGGTCGAGTAGACAGCGCTCAACCCTGTCGGTTGGAAGTTTGCGCGGCCGCGTCGCGCTTGGTATCACCGTAGGCTTCACCGCTGGCAGCGGCGTCATCGCCGTGGGCGCGAAGGCGGGCATCGTGTCCAAGGTTCGTACACCAGCCAGTTCCCGATCCACCCTCATCGTAACCAAGGGCCACAGCTTTCCGACAGCATACCGGCTAACGCCGATGCCACCTAGATGCTAGACCTCAAAGAAGGGACGGCAGTGCACGCAATCAGGCCTTCAGGGGCTAGATCACAGGCTCTTTTCCCACAGCAAAGCGGTATATATGTGCGAGCCGATATGAGGACCACGACCCACGACCCAACATCTGATCGATGACCGCCAGCACCTCAATCTCCGTCGATGCCTCGGCCCATCCCGTCAAGGTCGTCACGGTCTTCCAGTCATCGACGGCTGAAGTCACGCGCGCGTTGACTCTTCAGCTGCAGGTGAGCGGTGGACTGGTGGCGATTCGCGAAGCCGTGCACACCACTGGTGCTGACGCCACGGGCAGGCCGGAAAGAACGTCGTTGAAATTCTCAATCTTTCTTCTTTGATGGACCTCGACTCTCCTCGGGTCCACGGCCTAAGCCAGGGTGTCCGTGTCTTTGACATCACATGCTCCAACCGACTCAAGGACGCACCTGGACCCCCCGCGTCGAGACGGGCGGAAGAATTGAAACGCCTTCACGCCAAGAAGAAGGGGCTCGAAGACGAACGCGGTTTGCTCGTCCAGCAGAGCGAGCTCATCAACGAGACCGGCGCGGCGATCGCCAAGAGTGGCAAGGACCAGACATTCGACCTCCAGTTCGTCGAGAAGCTGACACAACGCAAGCGCGAGATATTGAAGGCCACTGCGCTTATTTCCGAACGACTAGCAGAGGTCGAGCGCGAGCTGTGGACGGTGAAGAACACGGTCAAGGGCGAGACCATAGCGGTTGTCACTGTCACGCTCATCGCGCTGCACGAATGTTTGCTAGCCATCCAACTGACGTACCGTGAGTGTCATATTTTGCCTGAACGTACTTTCACTGAGTGCGCATATGCAGTGGTCAGCAAGGTCAGCTGGATGCCGTACTATGACCTGTATGCCACGACGTCTGAAGGCAAGACGTCGTCGGAGATCTCAATGGTGTACAGGGCCAGCATCCGGCAGAGCACCGGCGAAGATTGGGACGACGTGAAGCTCACGCTCAGCACTGCAAACTCGCAGACGCGAAGCAGCCTCTCCGTTCCGACGATCGACCGCCTCAAGCTCTCCGCTCTGCGACCCCCACCCGCTCCTGAATACCGATCACACGCCCCCATGGCAATGATAGCCCCAATGTCAAGGATGCCCGTGGGACGCAAGAAAATGGCAGTCATGCCCACCGAACCCGAGTCGCTCCCCGACGTGTCGGTCATCGACGAATACGAAGAGGTGCCGGCAACCACACTGGACCGCAGCGCGCTGTCCCTCTCGTACCGCGTCGAAGAGGTGGTGACCATCGCCAGCGACGGCCTTGCGCACAAGGTCGCCATCGCACCGCTCACGTTCACCGCGGAGCTGCGCTACGTATGTGTCCCGAAGAAGACCCCGGCCGCGTTCATCGAGGCGACCATCAAGAACACGAGCGAGTACGAGCTCCTCGCGGGTCCCGTCAGCGTCTACATGGACGACGGGTTCGTGACCAAGACCTCGCTCGGGGTACGTGCTCTCCCGACCATCGTGTGTCATACTCCGTGCTCACGCGCCGCTCGATCGCCTCGCGCAGCTCATCGGTGTCAATCAGAGCTTCGAGTGCATCCTCGGGGTCGACACCGCGCTGCGGATCACCTTCCATACCCGGTCTCAGGTGGAACGCGAGGCGGCGCGCAGCTTCGCGGAGCCGTTGAAGACGACCACGCAGACGGTGACGACGACGGTGACGAACAGACACGCGTTCGACGTCGTCGGATTGGTCGTCCGCGACTCTCTTCCGCTCGGAGACAGCGAGGAGAAGATCAAAGTGATGCTCCGGAAGCCAGCGGACCTGGCGCAAGCGCGGGACGGGCAAGAGGTGTCGGTCGCTCTGGAGGGCGATGTGTCGGCTGTGAAGGTGCGATGGTCGAAGGTGGAGGATGGGAAGGGCGGGGAGAAGGACGGGATGTACGAGTGGGTGTGTAGGGTCGCTGAGGGCAAGAAGGTGGAACTGGAAGCGCAATGGGATATCAAGACGCCTGCGGACCTGCAGTGGGAGGAGAGGGTTGAAGGGAAGTGAGGTTTCGATGTAGCCGGATCAGTTCAATCTCACGTGCGCTCTCCTTTGAACCCAAGCGTACGTTGGCGCATGTGCTGTGTAGCCAGGTGATCCTCACGTTGGCTTTGGAGTCGCCGTGGTAGGGGTATTCCTATGTTCCGTTGCCAAATATCCCACATTTTTAACTGGCAGGACAGTCTGATGTTGACGTGCGTGGTCCTCTATCTGTTCTGACCGCTCGGGTCGCTTCCAGTATACTTACCCACCCACAGCTGACGCGACCCCAACTTACGAGGACGTGTACAGGGCCATCAAAGCAGAGAGTGCCCTACAATACTTGTCTAATCCACCTGACCGGTGGCATCATTGGCGACCGCATCCATGTAGTCAATCTGTTGTCCGGAGAAATCCACCCTTCTGGCCAGACCGGGCCGGTTCTGTTTGTTTGTTTGTTTGTTTGTATCCCATTTATCGCCCGTCAGGGCGGAGCCCTATGGTAGGCGGTACGTACAGTGATTACAAAGCGGGGAGGGCTAGCGCATACGGGGAGGATGTCGTGACGACCCTCCGGGGAGGGGCGGGCGGGCCAGGGTGTAAGCCAAAGTAGGGTACGTGAGCACATGTCAGTAGACTAGGAGAATGAAAAGAGCTGAGGAACGTAAGGTGGGCGACGTTACCGCAGGAGCCGGGAAGAAGGGTAGCCCGTCAGTTCGAATCATTATAACTAATCTAAGGTGAGCCGCGTCATACGCAGGCGCCCTGGAGCAAGGGGGTCGTGACCTTGCGGGCATAGAGACGAGGGTGGGTCGGAGGGGTGAAGGAAACGACCGCAGGGACGGGAGAGGGGAGGGGGGATATGGGTGAGATAGTAGCAGGCACAGTAGCGATGGGGCATGACGGGGTTAGGAACGGGTACGATGAGCACCAGAGTGGGGTCGCGCGGGGCGCGGGGCCGCCGAACGGCGGCGGCTGGGACGCGGGCGGGTATGGAGGTCCGGGGCGATCACGCGGGTAGGGGCGTCGGCCAGTTGATGGTGGTGGGTATTAGACCGAGGTCGGTCGGGCAATTTTGGGGAGGCCGCGCGCGGGCGCGGGCGCGGAGCCTGCGCGGCGGTTTAGGTGAGCTTGCGGAGAGCCCCGAGGGACAGGGCGAGACGGTCGGTGGCGTCGATGTACGCGAAGAGGTGGGGGAGCGCATCTGGGTGGGAGAGGAGGTGGCTTAGCTTGCCGCCCTTGCGGCCGAGCTTGAGGTGGATATGTTGTGTGCGCTCCCGGGAGTACGCCGTGCAGTGCAGGAGGAAGTGGACAACCGTCTCCGCGCCGGTGCCGCAAGCTGGGCAGATGTCTGCCATTTCGGCGCGATGGATGCGGTGGAGATGGGCAAAAAGCGGGGCGTGGCCGGTGCGGAGCTGGATGAGGAGGCGGGACTGTTTGCGCGTGAGCGGGGCGATGAGCTCCATGAATTTCTTCGAGGGCAGGGTGGGGTCGATGGGTTTGAGCCGCGCGCTGCGGGGTGACGCGTCCCAGTGCTCCGAGGCCCTCGTTTGGAGTGTGGCTGCGTGGGCGGTGCGGAGGGCGGATGCGCACGCGGGGAGACGCTTCCGGAGGGCCGGTTCTGTGACGGCACCGAAGGATATGCGTCTCAAGTCGTGCTGCGAGACGGCCCCGAGCGCGGCGACTTCAATGTGCTCGCATTGACAAGAGGCAGGATCCTCGTGGTGGACTGCGGCGATGAAGACACGCTTGGCTCTTCTACTGCACCTCCGGTGCTGTCACCACTCCACGGGCTCACTCCGCAGGCCTTATCCGCCGACGGGACTCGCGCGTTATGTTTCGTCGGCGCGGCGGCGATCCGATCCGACTCCAGCCACTGCCCCCAGTTCTGTTTTGTGGACACCGCCACCGGAGAGGTACTATCGGGGCCATTTGGAGGCGATCGGCCTTTGGTCATCAGTGGTGAAGACCGCGGCATGGAGATTCCGCGGTTTTGGAAGCAATATGATCTATCATGCTGCGGAGGGTGGCTTTGGAGCACGCTGCATGGCAGGCTCTTCCGAATTCCTGCAATCGATGACAAACAAAACGTTGTTCGAGCCGCAGTCACGTACGACGGGTCGATGGTCGTATGGTCGGATTCGCACGGGGCGTGCACTTCCGTCGCAACGTAGGCGAGGTTCGTTGAAACTTTCGAAGGACTTATCCCATACCGACTTGCACGTATTCTTGTTGCTTATGCGCGGATGTGGAAACACTGCTGTATTACAGAGTCTTACCGTAGTACTGTAAAACACCGCATGTATATATGCACTGTCTTGTAACTACAAAATCCTCCTCCGACCAGTCTACACCTCACTCCTGCTCGAGCTCCACCGCCTGCAGGGAAATCGCACACCCACTTGAACATCCCGTCCTCCTTCCTCCATGCGCGCCGGCCCCACGACCGTCCGTAACCGGCGCACCTTGACGGCAGCATCAGTAGTGGCCTCCTGCCCTTCCACGAGGGTCGCGGGCCTGTCCAGTGTCCGCGACCACACGGGTACTGGACACAGGGATGGCGCCGCGCACCAGGGGCGCGTTCGCAATCGTCGTGGTGTGGTTCGCCGAGGCCACGCACTGGTACCCCACGGAGGTGGTAGAGCGGGCTCGACGTCGACCCGTGCCCCGGGTGCCCAACACGCGCTCGAAAGCCCTACCGCCACAGTGGTGTTAAAGAGATCGCGCGGTGTCAGCGAGCGCTGGGCGAGAAAAAGGAATGCGCGGACTTGCAGTTTGTACTCTGTCGCCTAGAACCTTGCAGCAGGTCGCGCCCGCTAGCGGTCGTGACGCGCACGCGACGACGCCGCCGCCGCCCGGGACCGTCCGCCGGCGTGCGGAACGGTGGACGATGGGAGAACGGGAGATGAGTGCATCACATACATGTAGGAGCAGCGCTGTCGGAGAACCGAACCGTCTGGCAGAGCTCATGACGGTAGATGGTACGGGAGAGATGCTCGTGTCTTTGCTTGCGGGCGTAGATCCACCCTCACGGTCCCAAGTATGGAAGTTCTCGTCCCCATCGCCAACGGCAATTGCCTGGATGAAGTTGGCGTCAAAGAATGGCTCTTCTTCCGCCAGAGCTACCTGGATTCCATCATTCGACCGAGGCGAGGCGGGCGTGGACAACCTGAGGAACTCTCACCGCCTGACGTTGGCCTGGCCAACGAGAAGCGTAGACGTACAGTCAGGGAGGAGTGGCTCTACGACACCAACGGAGGCGATATGAAGGGCTGCATGGTGAAAGGTTGGTGGGGCTCCTGTGGCTGGGGTAATTCCATGGTGAGCGTAGCCGTGACAAGTGGGAAACATGGCAGATGACGGTCGGCAATTGCATCGCGGAGTGAGTGGCAGAGATGGAGCACTAGAAAAGGGGCATCAGCAGGACCAGTACTCACCGCACTGAGCCATGTCAGATTGCAGAAGCATCGGCGTCCAATCCGAGTCCAAGGAGCTGATGCACAGCTTGGAACGTTACATGGTGGCAGCAATATGCAAGAGGGAGTCGCAGGTCGTGGAATGTGTCGTAGATAAGATAAGATAATGCCCGCGCAGCTCGCGCGTCGCGCTCTCTGCACTTGAGCTTGAACTCTTTCCATCCACCAGGCTCTCAGTCGTCTTCCGCTCCCGACAATGTCCGACCTCTTTCGCTCGTCGGTTCAAGCGCGTCTTGCCAAAGCCCCCATGCTCCCACCCCTTCCCAACGAAGAAGAAGAAGACGAGGCCAGTGACTCTGTGCCCTCTCTGCCGACTGGATACGGACCCCCCGCGGCGTACGTTCTCCACCGAAAACATCTCTCGCATTCGCTGATATATGGCTCTCTAGGCCCTCGCGCACTCCTCGCGCCTCTCGAAAACGCCCGCCCAACCCCGCCATGGCCCCAATCTCCGCCTCTGGCTTCTTCGACCAAGCAATGCAAGTGTCCGTTCCGGACTCGGATCTCGATGTGCGCGTGTACTACACGCCCCCGAAGTTTGAGGACGGCACTGTGATCGTGTGCCACCATGGCGCTGGCTTCTCGGGGCTTTCGTTCGCGTGTATGGCGAAGGAGATTACAGATCAGAGTAGGGGCGAGTGCGGCGTGCTAGCGTTCGATGTCAGGGGACACGGTGCGTCCTGATAACCCGTTCTAACACGACATCTTCACTCACGCGTTCTAGGCAAGACTTGTCACTTGAAGGAACCCAAGACACCTGAGACGGAAACGCTCGACATCGAGATGTTGACGGCGGATTTGGTCAACCTCGTCAGGGTCATTTTCGCCGATGTTCACGCCGCTCCTTTCTTAGTGGTGAGTACTGCTTCGTCATGCGCATATATGTAGCCTTGAAACGTCGGCACGCGGTTGGTACACGGCAGACTGATGAGACACAGCTTGTAGGGCACAGTCTTGGAGGATCTGTATGCGTCCGGGCATGCCCAAAACTCCAGGACCACAGGTTCCAGGTCACTGGAGTAGCAGTGGTCGATGTCGTAGAAGGTAAGCTCGGTCTTCGTGCCTGTCACTCAAGTTGTCGACATGTCTGATATTCCCCTGCAGAGTTCACGCTGGATGCGTTGCCGCTGATGCACAGTCTCCTCAATGCGCGTCCCGAGGGGTTCGACAGCGTAGAGGAGGCCATCGAGTGGCAGTGAGTTCCACCATTTCTCGAATCTACGATCAAACGCTCAACAATGCATGTCTCCAGCGTGCAGACGAACACGATCCGTAATCCGAACTCGGCGAGGGTTTCTGTTCCAAGTATCGTCGTCCCGGCTCCGGAGAGATCTCCCGCCTACCTTCCTGCGTACCTATGGCGCATATCTCTGCGCTCAACCGCGCCTTACTGGACCAGTAGGCGTCTCCGTTGATTTGACGCATTGCCCTCTATCCTCACGGTTGACCCCTATAGGTTGGTTCACGGGCTTGTCAGCCAAATTCTTGTCTTCGAGAACCGCCCGCCTACTGATTCTCGCGGGCACGGAGCGACTTGACAAGGAGCTCATGATTGGGCAGATGCAAGGCAAGTTCCAGCTGGTCGTAATCCCCGGAGTCGGCCACCTGGTGCACGAAGTGAGAATTGCTTGTTTGATCTGTTGTGCCGCTTATGCTGATCGGATATGCACCAGGACGACCCGACCCGCATGGCGGAGGTCATCATCGAGTTCTGGAGGCGGAACGACCGAGTGGTCGCAGGTGTCAAGAAGGTCGGCGAGCTCTAGGAGAAGGACCACGACCGTGGCCTGCCGAACAATGGGCAAAAGTGTGAGTGTCAATGTGTTGTTCCGCATTGCGGCTCACTGAAGACCGAGATTTCACCTAGATTGATCTGTGCACTACGACACTTCTTGCCGAATTGTCTCTGTACACTTCACCACGACCATGGAGCAACGAGAAAAGTCCCCACGACCTCCATACCTCGAATTCCTTGCTTTCGAATGAAATTCGCAATGCATAGTCGTTCAAGGACGTATTACAACCCACTAGTTCTGCTGAAAACCGAAAACCACACATTTTCTATCCATCGAAGCGCACACACTTCCCACAAAACTACAAGACACGAGGCCAACCGGGTGCGGTTTCGCTCTGTGGAATACATGCAAAGCTTCTTCCGCGGCTTCTGCGATCCTCCGACGGCCTAATCTACGACACCAACCTCAGGTTTCTAGTCATCGACTGCGCAAGCGACTGTGTTTTCCCGCTCGTCTCAAGGTAAGTCTCTCATCACAATCACAACTGCAAGCAAATTGATGCGAACATACACCACAGAGAAGCCAGTCGAGACATCGGGACTTTCGAGCTATGTCGATGTCTACAGCCCCCGAAATCAGGGCATCACTCCTAGCGCCTATATGCTCGCCATGCACTGTGAAGTCAATCGCTCTCCGACGATTCAAGATGAACGTAGCGAGAACGCGGAGGCCGTGGAACAGCTCTCGCAACAGGAAATACTTGGTCGCCGAGAAGGGGAAGTAGAAGGACGAAGCGACACTGCTGGACGAAGCTGCTCCTCCGCGATCCACGGCAAGGATGGATTTCATGGCACAGTACGTGGAACGTAGCGGCAGCGCTATCAAGCGCGCTGCGGAGCTCAAAGAGGGCCTTGAACTCCAGATATGGGTCGCACAGAAGGGTCTGAAACCACTGTGTCCACCACGATTTCCGCCCGCAACGACTGCCAAGTAGAGCTTCGGCTCGTCTAGTGAGCTTCTTTTCTTTTCTGCGCATGAGCCTTGCATTGATGGCCAAGCATTTCGGTGGTCACGGAAGTTAAGTGGTCGCCTTCGTACAACCTGTACATCACGACGACCGACGGCACCACCTCACCCCGTATCTCGCTGCTATACCACGTCAACGTCACTCAGAGGTCCGGCGAGGATTGGAACGACGCCTCGCCCACTCTCAGCACCGCGAACTCAGAACCTCTCCATCCAGAACCTACCTTCCCTCGCCGTCTCCTCCGTTTATCCGCGCTCTCCCTCTCCTATGCACATACCGTACTAGCCCAAGTTCGCTCTGTCTTCTCCATTGTAGCAGATCTTGGTCGGCCACGTATTCATTTGAACTCTCCATAGGACGAGCTCCATCCTCATTCCGAGCCATGACTTCGTCCCCCGAGCCGGCCCCACACGCGCACCGTAACGCGCTTCGGTTCGACGCGGAGCTCACCCGCGTGTGCGTCCCGCGTCTGTCCGCAGCGGGGTTCGTGGAGGTGCAGACCGTGAACACAAGCGAGCACGAGCTGCTCGATTCCGGTTGAGGACAAAGATGTAAAGATCGGGGTGGTGCTGCGTACACCAGCGGGGCTGACGCCCGCAAGCGAGGGTGGCAGAGCCAGGGGAGGTGAAACAGGCGGTGCGGTGGCTAGCGGCAAGCGGAGGGGAAAGGTCAGGAGATGACGGGGATGGTCTGTGTGATCCCGGTTGGGAAGCCGGCAGGGCTGGGAGAAGTATGGGGGGTGGAGGTGCCGTCGAAGCTTCAGTTGGAGATCAGAAGCAAGCAATAGCTGAGTTGACCCGAGTGGAGACGGTGGCCCTCATGTGTATGTTATTGCTCACATGCCGCTACGCCCAGCTAGTAATAAATACTGTTTTCTTGTATCATGTGCGCTCGTTCCGATTTGCTCTGTGTCTGCTTCAGAATGGCTCCCAGTACTTGTTGTGTATCGATTGGATGTCAAGGGTTTGGATTAATTCTACAATAATATGAACCAGAGCACTGCAACCCAAAGACCTAGTCCCCGAGCAGGAAAGTATAAAAGCGTAGAGTATCAGCACAAGCCTCTATCAAATATGTTCAAGCGCAGCCTAGAGGACGCGATCGCTCTCCCCACTTTCACTGGCAGTGGCTGCCTTTTCGCTGACGTGCATCGAGAATCCCGCAAAGGCAGACACCGGCGCCTCGCACCCCCTCCCGTCGAGCGCGCGCTCGCGCAAGAGGCCCCAGTGGACCCACCAGTCGTCCGCCTCGTCCTCGCAGTCGTACCCGAAGATGGTGCGGACCTGATCCCACGCGCCGCTCGCCTCGCCGTCGCCGCCCTCGAGGACGTTGAGGCCGGCCTCGCCCAGCTGGCGCATCATCGCGTCCCGTCCGCGCGAGACGTCGCACTCGGGCATCGCCATGAAGAACGCGTTGCCGAACTCGGACGCGCGCACGGAGCGCGTGCGCTCCTGGCGGAGCTCCTGGAACGCGTAGAGGAAGGACTCGATCTGGCGCGCCTCGCTGAGGTGCGCGAAGAGCTTCGCGAGCACCGCGCCGTCCTCGACGGCCATCGCGGTCGCCTGGATCGTCCCTGGCTGCGCATCGTCAGCTCGACGCGGTCTGCGTGCGGATCGGTGGAGGGGCTCACCGGGAAGGGGTGCGCCGCCTCGCCGACGAGTATCAGACGGCCTTCGTCGTCTACCCAGTCTTCGAGGTCGCTGTGATCCCGAACGGTGACTCTCGTCGCCTTTCGCGCATACTTCAACACTTCCCGCAGCCTGCCATGGGCGTGATACACATCGTCAGAGCTGAACACTCGGATCGGCTGAAACCGTACCGTGGTTGCGACGTTGAGGCTATCTGCGACACGTCGACTGATGGCTCGTCTCCGTAGTTGCCTTCCTGCGCATCATCGGGCCCGTATAACTGGATAGCAAAGTCCTCTCCTCCGTGCTAAATGACATTCAGCTTGTGCCTACAAAACATACAACATGAACTCACCACCGGGTACCCAATAATGGCGCGATTATCTCCGAACGCCACAATCGAACCGTTCTGTTCGAACGCCACGGTCAGTTACGGTCTGGCGCACGTGCACCATCATCACACGGCATACCTCCGCGCGAACCTTGTCCAACGGGCCATCGGGAAGATGTTTTCGAGAGATGAGGGTGCTGCAGGGCGCAATCGCGGGTCAGATACGACTCGCGCCACCACGCCGGGCCGGTGAGAGGCCGGGCGGGAGAACGGAAGGGTAAACTCACTCGTACATCGCGAGCCCCGTCACCGTGCCTGGCGTCTTCTGCCCAACCACCGCGGTCCGACAGATGCCAAACTCACCGTCCGCGCCGACGATCACGTCGCCCACGAGGCTCTCCCCTGACGAGAGCTGCACGATGCGCGTCTCGGTGTCCACCTCAGACACCGCGGCGCCGTAGCGGATGTCGGCACCTGCGGCTGTTGCGGCCTCGTGCAGAAAGTCGTGCAGTTCCGCGTGCTGGGGCGGCCATGAGTGTGGGGAGTGGAGGGGCCAGCGGGGCCGAGAGACGAGTCTGGGCTTCGCAAGGAAGCTGCACGCACCGTTGTTACGAGAAACACGCCCCGTGTCTCCTTCAGCACCTCCTGGCTCCAGACCTGCTCTCCCAGACGCTCCCCTGATTCATCTGCCGATCGGAGGTTGGACGCCACCGTGAACGCGAGCAACAATATCACTCACAAATCGAGAACCAGATGGTGTGCGACGTGTGCGACGCTTTCTCGAGAGCCTCCCGCAGACCCCACTGGAAGAAGATTTTGGACACATTTGGTGGTAGTCGAAGCCCGCCTTCACCGCGCTGGGGGGCGCACAAGGGGCGTCAGGTGCGAGCCACACCCTCCACGTCGCGCGACTCACGATAGCTCCTCTCTGCCCCCGCTCCAACACCGTTACTCTGTGTCCCACCCGTCTCAGCGCCAACGCGCACGACAATCCGGCGAGACCTGACGGGCGTGTGATTGAGTACGTTTGTGGGCTTCTTCTGAGCGCATGGGCGCACATCACGCACCTCCGCCGACGATCACAAAGTCTATCGGGAGCTGTGTCCGGAGCGGCGCCTGAGAAGTCTGCGAGCTGCACGTCAGCGATCGCGCGCCCGGGCGCAGACCGATCGAGGGAGGCGGACGTACTGAGTGCGGCATCATGCAGAGCGCGGGTGTGGGGAAGGGGCGGGGGGGCAAGGGCGGGACTGGGCGGGACCGCGAAGGGCGGGTTTGGTTCCGCAGGTACCGATGGGTCGCACATACATATATTGCTTTGATCCCCCGTCCGGTGTCTCGGTTGTGCCCTACAGAGTCCAGACGCGACGTTGCCGAGGGCAGGCTAACGCCGACGGCGACTGGGTCCTCGTGCATCGGCCTGGTTCCAGCCGGCCATCATCGCCGCGAGGGGGCACTTGTCTCCCGCGAGGCTTGTACTCCATCTTCACGTTGACTCCTTCACATAGTCAGTGTCGCGTCTTGACCAAAAGGCCAAGAAGTTCCCATCAAAATGTCGCGACATCCTCGCCACGGACGTGGTGGACTTTGCTGTTCGTGGTAACGGAGGGCCGTGAACTTTTTTGGTCGAAATGCGACACGTAAGCCGCCCTGGGGTTCCAATAATCATGTACGCAGGAATTCACCAGGTCTTCATTAGCTGTGGTCTCATATATGCTAAGGCTAGTCAGAAATGCATGCATGGAAGAGCAACCGGCGATAGCCGACCCTGACTTACTGTATGTCACAGATCTACTTATGCCATGTTCGTCATACAGCCAGCCTAACCTTTTAGCGTAGCCTTCGCGGCGGCAAACGGGTCCCGTGTCACGTGTGGCCCCTGTCCGGGACCCGCGGCCACGGCTCTTTCTCCGCGGGCACGACGAGCGTGAAGGGAAGAGGAATCGCCTTGGCTGCTGGGAGCGACGGAGGCCGCGGGCACAGCAGGAGTCTGGATTCTGGATTGCGTAGTCACAGCTGGGGGGTGAAACATCATGCCTTGGATCAACGATCTGCCGTGGGAGGATGATTTCATCGCAGAGAGCATGTTTAAGCTTTAGCTTAGCCTTCTTGACGATGCCGTTAACATACGTGAAATCATTGGAGGATCACAACCTTACGTGCACGCCCAGCCACGGGGCTTGATGTGATTGAGCCACCAATGGTTGGTAACATCTGGAGAGTCGTCCCCAAACACCGTGGAGTTGATCATCAACCGCGTTCAAGCAAGCGTCGCCAGCGACTTGAGACTATTACTTCAATCGCAGTAGGGTCGCGACATGTCTCTGCACGGATAAGTGTGAGCATCTTAATGACGGATTATCCATACCTGACAACGCTCTTGCATCGGGAGGTCATCAACAAGATCTACGCTTCCTCCAACTCAAGCAATCGATATGATCAAGCTGGTAGGACGAGGGTACGGGACAAACTGGGACAAACCGATAGGACGGCGTTTATCTGGCCTCAGTCGCTTACGTACTCCTCTAGTCAGTATCCATAGAGGCGACTGGAACAGCAGGCTATTGGCTGCTATTGGAGGCTATTTAGCAGCTCAAAAAAGATTCGCAAACAAGGGACGCCGGGTTTTCGCGGTCTCAGATACGAATCGATTGGACCTGCGTGCGGAACGTCGGAAATTGAGGGGGGAAGACTCGCGGCAGGCAAGTCACTTTGCGCGCGCGGAAGCAAATGACTTTATTGGGTCCGCCGCTGGATGAACAGATCGACACAACGCTAGCCGTTGAGCCATATACGCACCAGCAAGCGACGTCAGCCGCGTAGGCGGGCAAGACTTTCGAATCCAGACTCTGCAGGTGGTGAGGTGGTGGTGGTGGTACAGCAACACAACGCGTATCACGAAGAACTCAGATTAGGTGGGGTACACGGGCGAGGATGATACAGGCGCTCCGCGGGTTACACTCGATGTGCAAGTATATGGAGCCAAAAAATAGAGCAGGGGTACGCACGGTAGATTGGTTGACAAGAAGTTGTGGGCAGGGACGATCAACGCACGCCGTGGGCTAGAAGCAATGTCAGTCCAACAGATATGATATGGTACCAGACTACAATGGTAAAACGGAGCGCAGAAGCTGCATGGGGCACGACGTAGATCGGCGGGTCTAGTCGGCCTTGCTGACCATATAACGCTCCCAGGATGGATACTGAAACGTCTGCTTCATCATGCGGCCCGACGAGGTTTTGAGGGCGTCCGCGTTTGCGGTAGCGGTCGCTTTGGTCTTGCTCGGAGAGGCGGTATCCGCAGCAAAAATCGACAGGTCCTCTGGAATCTCAACTGTGATCGGAATAGTGGAGATTTTGAGCTTGCGGTCGTCGAGAACACCCCGCGCGAATGGCAAAGGCTTGGGGACTTTCGGAGCGGGAATCCACGTGCTCCCCTGGACCGGCGGAGGAGCGGAGGAGGATGAGCCAGAAGCTACCGGTTGCTCTATTCGCGCGGCCTCGGAGGGACAGAGCAAACAGATCTCTGTCAACGCCTCCGAGTTTGACGGCTGAAGACGAAGTACTGCACGGAGGTCTGATTCCGACGATCAGAGCGTGCCAGGGACGTGCAAATTTAGACAAACTGACCGCGCAACGCGTCCTCTGTTTGGCCTTGGGCCTTGCGAGCCTGGGCTCTCCGCCAGTGCGCCTTGACACTCTTATGTTGGGTGAGCGATATGTCACATGCCTTTTCTGCCTCCACGAAGCTGTTCTCGCAGCGGTCAATCGCTGTTTAGCCCCCACTGCGGCACACGCACTTGTTCACTTTCAGATATGCGGCGGCGAGGTTGAGCTGGTAGTGTGGCATCTCCGGCTCGACAGCATACGCGTCCTTGTAGCGCTGAATCGCCTCCTCGTAGTCGCCCTTTTTGAACGCCAGGTTGCCCTGCGTGACACGAACGACAATGAGCTCAAGCAAGAACCATACGAACACATGTTATTGACCTGCTCTTTTTCACGCTCCGCGCGGAGATACCTCCACTCCATAAGCTCCGTCACCGTCATGTCACAACAGTCGTGCGTCCCGCCGTCGGCGTGCTTTGTATGCAGCTCGTGTTCGGTTCCGATGAAGTCGAACTCGACCGTCCACATGTCCTCTTCCTCCTCCGTGCCCCAGCCGCCCACGCCCGACCCTGGCTCCGCGTGAGCCCTCACGTCCGTGCGCCGCGAAAGACTGCAAACTCACCTCGCCCGTCCCACTCCCGCTCCTTGCCCGACCTAACGCCGCTCTCCTCCTCCTCCAGCCGGACCGTCTTCTCGCACACCTCGCTCAGGTGGTCCGTCGAGCACCCGCAGTCGCACCACTTGGAGGTGAGCTTGTCGCGGAGGACGAGGCCGTAGCCGCGGACGTCGAACTCGCGCGCGACGCGCCAGAGCGTCGAGCAGACGCGGTCGTAGCCCTCGCGCACCTTGTACTGCCAGTCCTGCGAGCGCGAGCTCTTCTCGCAGGCTTCCGTCAGCGTGCGCACGCCTTCGGTGAGGGGGCCGAGGTGGGGTGGCTTGGCGAACGCGGGTGAGTGTCGGGTTTCGAGGGACTCGAGGTGGGCTTTGAGGGCGTCGTAGTGAGGAAGGAGGCGTGCGGAGTGGAGACCGCGTGTTTGGCAGATGGGGATTCCGTTAGACTTGGCCTAGAGGATCGGTCAGTATGTGTCAACACGCGGCATGACGTTCGTGGAGGAGTACTCCGGCGAACCACGGATGAATGCGCATGGGCTCGCGCTGCAGAGACTCGGCGAAAAAGGTACTCACAAAATGCCTCAGTGCGGTATATGTCCACAGTACGCTCTTCGTTGCGACGCGTTCTCCGGCCTGACGCATGTCCATTGCAATGGTTGTGCGGAAGAAGTCTTTGATCTCGTCACTATCCGCATTGGCGGCCACCCAGCTAGGCCCCCCGATGGTGACGCAGCGAAGGACGAATGTCGGAAGATGGAGGAGGGCGACGCAGTAGAGGTGGGTAGAGAAGAGGCGGGCCATGTCCTGCTCAAAGCGAATGAGGAGGATGCGAGCGATGGTGCGCTCAAGTTTGGAGACCGCGCTCATGGCGTGGGAGATGCTCTTGTCGGTGCGAGGGCTGGGGTGCTGATGGTCTTGGTGGTGTTGGTGCGTGGATGAGGCAGCGCCGTCGCTACGAGGTTTCTTGGGAGGCGGCCGTTTCTTGACATGGGAGTATTTCGCCGGCATGGCTCAACAGCAGAATATTTTTGAAAGCCGAGCTGTAAACAAGGTTCGCTCAATGCATCCCGTGGACTGTAGATGGACGGACCAGTGTGTACTCTGGGCTGAACGTGCAAGTACTTGCGCCCTTTGGAGAGGTACAACGCTTCAAATGTGGTAGTCTTTCGGAAATCTGCAAGGGAGGGGTTTTCCAGATGAAACGGTTGGCCGACGCCGAAGGCAGCGAGGTGGAGCGAGGACGAGGACGAGGACGAGCGTGGGATGAAGACTTAGGCGTTTGTGTGCAGCGAACGCGATCGCGCGACGCGCCTGAGCTTGTCACGGCACGTGCGTTTCATCACATCTGGCGACGAATTACGTCACGACGCCCCCTAGGCGGCATGTCACGCTTCTGGACCAGACGTCTTTTCCACCCTCCCCTTCTTCCCCTTGGATCGCTGAACATTTATCGTTATTCTGAGCTAGTTATTTGCACTCTTGCTTGCTCTTCTACTCCTCTTTTGCCCATGCTCCGGTCATAACATCCATCTGAAAGTTTACTTGAAGCCCCACTATGGCGGGAGCGGCTTCTCAAACGAGACCTGAGCCGATGAATGCGTCGCCGTACCATTCGAAGGTCAAGGTCACCCTCAGGTTTGCCGACACCCAATTCATTGCTGGAGGGATGGTGACCGGGAAGATCGAGCTGGAGTGCAAAGCGGAGAAGGGTCTTGGGATCAGTGTAATCATGGTCGAGTTGTTTGGTGTAGAAGGTATGTTGGCATCATTCAAGAACTAGTGTCGCGGCTCCGGACGGGCTTCTTGTTGGGCTGCCTATGTGGCTGCAGCCCTTTGCGCAAATCGTAGCGAGAGCTGATGTGTATGCGCTGGGTATATGCGCATCACTCGGCGTCGTACTCGAAAACGTACCCTTTGGATCGCCTCATCTCCCTCCCATTGTCTGAAGCACCCGCTCAATTCCTTTAATTTTAGAACTCACGTCAAGAGACCATTCTGCGACATCCACCTTCCTCCACTCACGGCGATTATTCCAAGGGCCAGGTCTCCCTCCCTCCAACTCCGTCCATCCATATCCCGCTCCCGGCGACCCCCCACTACCGTCCCACTACTACCACGCTCGTCGCGGGATCACGACTTTCCTTTTCCAGATCCCCCTTCCCGAGACGTCTCCTTCGTCAATAGACTTCGGCTCCAGCTTGGCCACTCTTCGATATGAAGTGCGCGCCAGCGTGGGGGTATTTTGGAAGGGCGAGAAGAAGCTGGTCACGGACAAGAAGATGGTGGATATCATAGAGCGGCTTGACGAGCGGCGAAATATCGAGTCGGATGGAGTCATCGTCGGGGAGAACGGCAAGATCTGGATGCAGGGAAGGGTTCTGGGAGGGCTTATGGTCGCCGGCGAACCGACATGCATCGAGCTACAGGTGAAGAACCATACGACCAAGAAGGTACGCTCCCGAAGATCGTCGCGCAGACTTCAGCTCACGCAACACAGAATTCTGGCCTGTCTGTGACGTTGACTCGCGAGCTCTACCTGCCCAACGTTCCTGCCACCCAGAAGCAACCCCTCCAGATCTCAGATACCCTGACGTCTGTGTCTTTCAAGGGACCGGAGTATATCATCGGGCCTGGTGTCGAAGGCGTGGCGAACCTAGTGGTAGATGTGCCGAAAACCGCTCGGGGAGTAAGAGGAGGTAGGAGGTTTGGAGAAGGGAACAAGTCAACCGAATGTCTCTTCGAGGTGCGATGTACGGTTGGGATCAAGCTCGGGATGGGCATTGGCAGGTACGTGCTCGAGCGTCTCCTATTATGAACGTTTCTAAATTGTTGCATTAAGCAGCAAGGATATCTATCTCAACCTGCCTGCCGCCATTTGTCACCCTGCCGTGGTTCCCGACTTCCCGCCTCCCGACCTCTACTCCCCCATGGTCACTGGCGCACCCGTCTTTGATCCCGCCACGGGCATGTTTTACCAGCCACCAATGTCTCCGGGGCCGTACGGTCGCGTCTGGTCCCCGGCGCCGTACCTCGACCGTGCTGTGTCCCCTGTACCGTATCTCGACCGCGCCATGAGTCCTTATCCCTACCAGCCTCCTATATCCCCACCCATCGGGCCTTACGTGGACCACGGACAAGTCTGGTTGCCGCCCCCGACCATGCCCAGCATGTACGCTCCGCCTTCCTACTATGGCCAACACGACCTGTACGCACCTGCGATCCCCTTCGCTCCTCCCCGCCCATCCAGCACGGAACCGGCGCCCTCTCGGCCCATGCACGAGCTCCAGAATGTGTCAGCAGCAGCACCTCTCATCCCCATGCCCACCGGATCCAACAATGGGGGAGACCGCGAAGAAGGCAAGGGCGAACGCGCCTCCCGCATTGCGACCCACCTCCGCATGTCGTCGCGCGCACGCTCCGCATCTCCGCCGGCACATCGCTACCACGTCGCGGAAGCGCAGCCTATACATGCCACGATCCACCCATCGGCCCTCCACGCGCCCGATGGTCTGCCGACCGCGCAGGAGGCGTTCGCCAGCCCAATGTCGTCGCCCGAACTGCACTCCCAGCCGAACCTGAGGCTTTCCCCGTTGCTCACTGGTGGCGATGTCGTCTCGCCGCGTCCCATGCTCTCGCCGAAGATTTCCTTCTCCAAGGACCCCTTTGAAGCGGTGTCGCCCGTGGAGAATCTCGAACGGCTCGCTGAGACCGCTACTCCCGTGGCTGGCGCCATGTCGCCTGCGCTGAGTCAACGGAAGTTGAGCGATGACAAGACTGGTGGCAGCATGGACAAGACGCTTCCCCGACCTCCCGTCCCCAGCACGAAGGAGTACTTCGCGGTCACTCCCCGGGGCCGTGCCGACACACTCTTTCCGCTCGATCCGAGTCCTGGGCCAGACCAGACTCCTCCCACTCCCACTCTCGCCGCCGCAAACACTTCGCTACGCCCACCACGCGGAGCCCCATCAGGTCTGGACGCTCTCGAGGCCCGTCTGCTCGCGGAGGTCGGGACCCGCAAGCCGGAGAAGGCGCGCGCTCCCGACGTGCGCGAGGTGCTCGGCATGCCGGCTCCCATTGCCATCCCTCGGCCGGCTGACGTCGAGCCCCCCGTCGACTCTGCTATCTCGAGCCTGTCTCTCCCTGGGTTGGACGACGCGCGTACGCTCAAGCGCGCGGGCCTGAGCGACGTCGAGGACGCAGAGAAGGAGAAGGAGCGGGAGAGGGCGCGGGAGCGCACTCTGAGCGGTGACCTCGACCCTGCGCTGTCGTCCCGTGCCCGGGGCAGCAAGGAAACGATGCGGGCGCGGGAGAGCAAGGAGACGATGCGCGGGATGCGGGAGAGCAGGGAGACGAAGAAGGCCGGCGGGTCCGGCGGGGCGCGCCAACGAGAGCGCAAGAAGTCGGCGGCGGCCGAGGAGAACAAGGAGGTGCTCAAGCTGCGGAAGGCTGCTCAAGGCCGCATCGCTGCATGGCTGGGGAGCATCGACCCAGATGCCCCGCCCCAGATCCCAACGCCGCCCCTCGAGACGCCGTCGCCCGTGGGTACGCCCGAACTGCAGGACAGGTCGGCGCGCGGACGGTCGAAGTCGGCTGTGGGTCTGGGCTTGGGTGTGAATGGCGACGCGGACGCCAAGTCACCCGCTCGCAGCCCAGCCGTCAGCCCAGCCCGGAGTGCTCGCAGCGCGCGGAGTGTCAAGGCGACCCCTGAAGCTACTGAAGGGCCTGGGGAGGCGACAACCGATACCCAGGCTTCGCCTAACCCTCGTTCGTCCGGCTTCTTGCCGATCGGGACCATCCGCGCACAGGCCACCGGCAAGGGCGGCCACACTGTCAAGAAGAACCCGTCTCCGTTCGACGCGTTCAAGCTGCCCAAGGCGTCGGATCGTATTGGCCTCTACCCGCCTCGTCGCCTCGATCCCGAGGTCAAGTACGATATTCGCTCGGCTCGCGGCGGCAAAGGCGGCATTGTCACGTCCGTCGCCGCATTGTGGGCACAAGGTGTGCCAGGCGTCAGCGACAGCAAGATGGGCGCGACCAAGCCGACACCGATCAAGCCCTCAGCGAACGCCTCCAAGCTTGCGGAGCAGTGGAAAGTGCGTTCGGGAGGGATCGAGAGCAAGCCCGCCACGAGACCCAAACCTGCTGGTCTTGTCGATGCCCGTCCCAAGGCCATGCGACCGACCACAAAGGCAGCGCAGTCCTCACCCGCTGTGACGTCGCCTTCCTCGGATCCTATGTCGACCTCTTTCGGAGATCTCACAGCCAAGCGTGCGAGGATGGTGAAGGCCACCCCTGCCATTGCTTCCGTGTCTTCTTCTATGGCTACACCTACTCTCTCGTCTACCGCATCTCTGGCCCGTCCCATCGCTGCGCGCGCCGAACGCGCCAAGCTCAACATGAAGCTCCCTCCGACCATTGCTGAGGCCGTCGCTGAAGCCCGGCTGGGTGCAAAGTCTCCTCCGAACTCCGCGCCCGATACGCCCAAACCACCGTCGTCCCTACCAGCCAAGGCAGACCTCGCTTTTGGTCAGGCACGACTCCGCGAGCTGATCAAGCGATACCAAGGACAAGTGAACTCGTAAATGATTCATGACCACACACACATCTCGGACTGTATCCTCATACCACCATTGCTGCATGACCGTCTCCTATATCCTCCCCATCTTGTCATAACACTCCTAGTCTCTCGTCTGCTCATCTCTTATAATGTAGCCCGTACCACCCTTCGCACGCTGACTTATTAACTCACACGTTCTCCTTCCCGCCATGATTTACCCACTGATGCCTCTCTATCACATTGTTACTCACGACCTGCGACGATCTCTATCTCTCTAGTTTGGTGTATCTCGATCAATACACAAGTTCACGCCTACAGCCTGGCGCCTGCTCTATTTCGCTGCTGCTTCTTTCTGCTCCCCTCGATCCCATGCCATGCCGGCATTCGTCCCGTCGAAGCCCACTAGTTCCCCCACGTGCCTCCAACCGTGCACTCAGTCGTTCCTGAATCCTCAAGCCTGCGAATCCACCGTCGTGTGCGCCGGGGCCCTCAGCGAGCAACTGGCTGATCCCTCCGCGAAGGTGTGCAGGTGAGCACCGCAGCAATATTCCTAGACCCTATCTTATCGTCCACACAGTGATGTGGGCTGCGAGGACTGCTCTTCGAAATACCTTGGAATTCCCAAGTTCTTATCGACGTTCGCACTCGAGCCGCTGGGAGAGCCGTACCCCTGGGCGCGGGCGAGCAAGGGAAGGAGATAAAGGTGGGCGGGGGAGCGTCCCGCGTCCCCAAGACCCTCCCTTCTCGACCCCTCCGAAGTCGCGAACCTGAGCGCATAGGATAGCAGAGATGGCCACCGCGACGAACTCGAAGCCGATCCCCACGGTAATCTCCGTGCGTGCTCTCCGTGCGGGGGTCTTCGAAGGCGCTGGCTGATCGCTGAGATCGGCGCGGGCAGGTCGATCCGTTTGTGTAAGCGATGCGCGAAGGCTCGGGACGTAAGTCCGTCGTGCGCTGACGGCGTGTCGGTCTCGCGTAGTCCGGCCGATCAGCAGAAGGGCATCCACAACCGCTGGCAGTGAGTAGTTTCAGTCTGCGTCGAATTGGTACTTGGGCTGACTTTGACACTATCTCTCGTAGCCCTGAAATACCTGCTTTTGCGACAGTAAAGCCTGGCGAGGTGCGGCGGCTGCAAATGTGACTTTTGGGATGTGTCGTGCTGACGACCTTCGGCAACGCAGGCTTTCAAGGTTCAATGTGTCGGTGCGCAGCGCTTATGTCCATGTAGAAGCACCGAACTCACGCGATGATAACAGACTGGACTGGTGCCCAAATCGGTAACAACGACAGTACGTATTTTTCTGTCTTAGTGCCCGGCTTTGAGACACCTCTGCTCACACTCTATACAGCCAGTGACGACATCCGGGACGTCGACCTGACCAAGGTCCATAACCTCTCCGGCCCTGTCGCCGTCGAGGGCGCGGAGCCAGGCGACTGTCTTGTCGTTGACATCCTCGATGGTTGGTGTTCCCGTCTCGACTCCTTTCGCCCATCTGACGCCCTTCCTTTCCCAGTCCAGCCATTTGAGAAGATGCCGTGGGGCTACACCGGCATCTTCGAGCTCGAGAACGGCGGCGGGCTCTTCGCGAAGGAGTTCAAGAGCCGCGCCGCGAAGGCGATCTGGGATTTCGAGGGTGCGCACGCCTCCCCTCCCCTCAGGCCGTCCTCCAAAACGCACATCACTGAGCCCTCGTCCTCGCCGGTCGTCCGCAGGTGTCTACGCCTCCTCGCGCCACATCCCCGGCGTCCGCTTCGCGGGGGTCTCGCACCCCGGCCTGATCGGCACCATGCCCTCGGCGGAGCTCCTGAAGACGTGGAACGAGCGCGAGTGCGGGCTCATCGCGGAGCACCCGGGCGCGATGCCCGCGGTCGCGTTCCCGCCCGAACCGACGGGCGCGTACGTCGGGACGGCGGAGCCGCTGCCCGCGGACGTGCTCGAGAAGATCATGAAGGAGGGCGCGCGGACGATCCCCGGGCGCGAGCACGGCGGGAACTGCGACGTGAGTGGCTCTCGCCTGAGTGCTGAGTGCCGAGGCGATGTCTGTCGCTGACGTGAGCCCGGACTTGGCAGATCAAGAACTTGTCGAAGGGCTCGCGGTGCTACTTCCCCGTCTTCGTCCCGGGCGCGCTGCTGTCTGTGGGCGATCTGCATTTCTCGCAGGGTGACGTGCGTGCTTGCTTCTTGTTGGGGTGTGTTGTAGGGCGCGCTGACGGACGGGGGCTTAGGGTGAAATGTCGTTCTGCGGTGCCATCGAGATGGCGGGCATCATCACCTTCAAGTGCAGCATCATCAAGGGCGGCGTGGACAAGTTCGCTCTGAAGCAGCCGCTCTTCCTTGTACGCGTCGTCGGGGATCCTTTTTCACAGCCTTTACTGATGGTATTTGCATTCTAGCCTTCGCCCGTGGACCCTATGTACTCGTCGAAGGTTCGCTGCCACTTATTTCTCTCTCTGGAAGGCTCTACTGACGACTGTGTTCTGCAGCTCATCTTCGAAGGTATCAGCGTCGACTACCGTGAGTATTCGCTTCTCGGAGCCTCTCACTTTGATTCTGAACTCTTTGTTTCAGACGGCGATGGAAAGCAGTACAACATGGACGCCACCGTTGCGTACAAGATGGCTGCATTGAATGCGATTGCATACCTTGAGAAGGTACTTGATTCAATGAAGTTCGATCTGCGTCCCTTACTCAACCAATCTTGTTCAGCTTGGCTACAGTGGGTTTTTTACGTACTTTGTGCTCATGTCGCTAATGTGTTTGTCTTCCCCTCAGCTCGTCAACAAGCTTGTAAGTGGTTTCCACTGGTGTCGCCGCAGAGCTCATCGTGCTGACGAACGTTTTCCAGATCTCCTCTTGTCCGCCGCGCCCGTGGAGAGCCACGTCGGCGCGATCGTGGTGGGTGTCTCTGAACTCGGCTCTGCTCCGCCTAGGATCATGACGCCTCTCGACTCGCGCAGGACTCGCCGAACGCATGCGTAACACTTGGCATCCCCACCGGCATCTTCGACTTCGTACGTCTACGTCCACATCCACGTCCTCGTGCTGCTCCGCCTCCCTCGGACGCTGATGGCCGCTTGCGCCGCAGGATATTATGCCGAAGCCCGAGGGGCTCGACTTCAAGTCGCGCGGCCAGGCGGCGATCCGCAGCGACGGGCTCGTCGACACGCCCGTGGGGAAGAACTCGGCATGAGCGAAGCTCTGTCTGCCTCTGTATCAATAGGAACGAGGGTCGATGAAGAAATAGTAGCAGTTTGTGATCATGTGTGTACGATAGTTGAAGCAACATTTACCATGGCTCAGGTGTTCTGAAGAGCAGTAGAAATAAGGACAGTTGCACCGACAAATAGCCTCAGGACTCGGATGAGTACCGCTTGACGGGAATTTAAGCTTGAATGGACGACTGATAGTTTGATATTAGTAGAGGCGCAACTTGCACATGATTAACCGGTACCTCGTGTTAGCCGTGGCCCTGGCAGCGGATGATGCACGATGATTGGTCCGGTGCATGGGAAACAACACTTACTCTCAGAGACAAGCCGTACGTGTGACCAGGCCCCGAAACATCCTCCACCTCTCTCTTCGACGTTGTCCGCCGAGTGCTCAGGTTCGCGCTTTTCCTCCCCTACATGTCCACACTGGTACTTGTTCCCGAAAGGGCTAGCACGTCAGAACGAACTTGGCTGATCGTGGGAACACTCGCCGATTGCGGTTGCCACGTATGTAAATAAGCCGGCCGGCCAGTACATGAGGCCTTGAGCTTGAGGGGTCGTATCTCGCGTCGTCCACGCTGCTCACATCCTCCTCTTGCAGCGATGGCTGAAATCACGCTCCCATATACGCCCATCGAAGACATTCCCAAGGTACGCCCCCACTCGGCCCGCGGGGCGCCAGCGTAGCTCGAGTGCTGATCCGGTTTGGCCACGTTCACGCAGATCCATGCGCGGGCCCGCGCAGCGTTCAGGGCTGGACGGACGAAGGACGTCGCCTTCCGGAAGGCGCAGATCGCCCAGGTCGGGTACATGCTCAAGGACAACGAGGAGGCGGTCATCGCCGCCATGAAGCACGACCTCGGCCGCCCACCGCTCGAGTCCGAGATGTAAGTTCGGATGGTTCACGCCACGCGCGGATGCCAGTTTGACGTTGGCATCGACTCCGAAGGATGGATCTCTCACCGGTGTACGCCGAGGTCCGGGCCGCGTACGCCAATCTCGACCAGTGGGTGAAGCCGCAGGCGGCCGAGTTCTCCCTCAACTTCTTCGCCATGGGCCCCAAGCTCGTCGCGGAGCCCAAGGGCACGGTTCTCATCATCGCGCCGTTCAACTTCCCCGCCTTCCTCCTCTTCTCGCCCCTAGTGAGCCCGGGTTCGCCTCCGCGCCTGGAAACACGCGACTGACGACTGCTCTGTAGGTCAGTGCGATAGCCGCGGGCAACGCCGCAGTCCTCAAGCCGTCGGAACAGACGCCGGCGATCAGCAAGATCTTCGCGGAGCTGCTGCCCAAGTACCTCGACCCGGAGCTGTACCACATCATCAACGGAGGCGTCCCCGAGACGACCAAGGTACGGACGCCCCCGAGATGCTCAAGTGCGCGCGCTGACCCGTACGCTGCAGATTCTCGAGCTGCCGTGGGACCACAGTGAGCCCACCGTTTCCTATCGTCGCCCTGCGCCTACTGCTGACATTCGCACCCGCAGTTCTTTACACCGGAAACGGTCGCGTGGGCCGCATCGTGGCCACCGCCGCGGCGCGGCACCTCACTCCGACCACGCTCGAGGTCAGTCGACGCTGAAGAGAGTTACGTTCGCCCGCGCTGACGACCGCATAGCTCGGCGGGAAGAACCCCGTCGTGATCGACCCCCGCGTCGACCTCGACCTCGCCGCGCGGCGCATCCTCTGGGGGCGCTTCACGAACGCCGGGCAGATTTGTCTCTCCCCCGACTACGTCCTCGTCCCCGCAGACTTCCAGGACAAGTTCGTCGCCGCGCTGGAATCCATGTAAGATTTCCCCCCGCGCAGCCGCAGCCGCGGGCTGACGACCGTGGACGCAGGTATAAGACCTTCTACCCCGACGGCCCGGAGAAGTCGGACTCGTTCTCGCGCGTGGTCACAAAGGCGCACACGCAGCGGATCAAGCGCCTCGTCGACGAGACCACGGGCACGATCGTCTGTGGCGGACAGTCCGACGTCGAGACGCGGTACATCGCGCCGACGATCGTGCGCGACGTGCGCGAGGGCGACTCGCTCCTCAGCGAGTGTGTGGTTCTCTGCTCGTTGCGGTGCGCAGACCGGCGCTGACTCTTGGAGCCACGCAGGGAGATTTTCGGGCCGGTGCTGTGCATAGTGCCGGTGAAGGACGTCGATGAGGCCGTCGCGTTCATCAACAGGGGGTGAGCTCGGATCAGTTGTTGGCGGGGACTAAGGACTAACTCTCTCGGCGACCAGCGACCACCCGCTCGCGATCTACGTGTTCTCAGAGGACCCCAAGTTCGAGCAGAAAGGTGCGGAAAGCTGCATATTTTCCGTCAACGGGAGCGCTGACGGCCATCTCTCCTTCAGTCTTCAGCAACACGAAGAGCGGAGCAGCTGTCACGAACGAAGTCGTTATCATGCCTGGCGGTGCGTGCCAGAGCTTGACCGACAGGCATCACTCATCCGTCGCTCACTTACGCGTCGCTTGCAGTGCACGGCCTCCCCGTCGGCGGCGTCGGCGCAAGTGGATGTAAGTCGTCCCAGCCGTCGCCCGAAGCGCCCCCTAACCCCGCCGTGCCCTCACCGCAGACGGGTACTACACGGGCAAGCACGCGTTCGAGCAGTTCACGCACCTGCGCGTGTCGCTCAAGAACCCGAGCTGGTGCGTGCCACGCTTCTCCACTCTCACCGTGGGGCCCCCTTGTTCGCCCGTCCTCGGGCCCGGTCCCCACGGCCGCCCAACGACGTGCACTCACGCTCGCGTCCCCGCAGGGTCGACAAAATCGCGTTCGGGTTCCGCTTCCCGCCGTACACGCCCTCGTACCGCAAGAACATGCGCCAGATGGGCGGCCGGCTCCCGCCGCGGCCCGCCGGCGGGCTCGCGAAGGCGGCGCCGAAGAGGTGGGCGTTCTGGCTCGCGTTCGCGCTCGTGGGCGCCGCGGCGGTGCTGACGCGGCAGCGGCAGCTGAGGTTGGCGTGAGCGAGAGAAGGTGCGACGTTCTCGCGCGGGGACGGCCGGGCGGTCCGCTCAGCTCAGCAGTGACGGTTGCAGGTTCACGACGCTCCCGCTTTGGGGCGCGGGTGGGCGGAGATGCGTCTCGGGGCCCTCTCCCCCGTCGGTCGGATTATAGGCAGCAAGATAAGCCTTGTTTTGCCAGCTTTCTCGCTTGTGTTTCTGGTCGGTGTACGGTATGTGCCACGTAATGTACTTCGAATATGAGGATCTTCGGATGTTGTGATCGTTCGCTCATTCTCTCTGGAGCCCGGGGGACATTCGAGCTTATAGAACATGAGCTTGGTGTTATTTTTGGAGCTACCTACCGGAAGGTGCAGACGAACGCCGGCGTTGCTGGGAAGAGGAACATAATCGGACTTTCTTTGTGGCTACCATGGAGGAAGACATGGTGTTCAAATTCGGATTAGACGTGCTTCGGTGCTGCCGTGTCATGGATCGACGACTTCATATACACCAACACTGGTCTTGCGGCCAGACAGGCCACACCTTCCAGGATAAAAGCTCAAGAATGATTCAGACCGCATTTCGATGTGTGAGACGCGTTGGGTCGCCTCACTCACTGATTGGGCCCTGGGACGTCGGTAAAGCGTCCGCACGACTTCGTCCCTTCTTGTCATTGGACAACGGGCTCTATGTCGCAAGCCACCTGGACCTCACATCAATCAGGTCCCCTTAGCCTGGGGCACGGGGGGGGATGGCCCGGGCTAAGGAGACCTGAATCCGTGCTCCCGCGCATGTTTGAATAATGTCCTCAATAAACCCGAGGCAGTTTCCCTGAAGGGAAGTATTCGAACGCCCTCCCTTCCAAGTCCCCCAGCCCATCACGTGTCCCCATCCTTCAGATCTCCCATCAGTCCGCGTTATCTCTCCCGCCCCCGCACGCGTTATCTCCCGCGCCCACGCCCACGTTATCTCCCGCGTCGGCGCCGCGCGCCTCCCTGCCCCGCCACCCGTGCTCGCTGTGCCCGACAGTGAGCTCGCTGTACCTGCACCCTGCCTCCCCCTCCTCTCCGTTTCCCTCCGTTCTTTTTGTAATCTACTTTTATTCACAATGCGCACCTAATGGTACACAATTCAATGGCCACACCTTCCTGGGTGTGCCTGCACTGAGCCCTCAAACCTCCCAAAATGCGTGCAATACAGGAACATATACAAGCACTCAAATGATCGGCTAAGTGCTGCATCAGATAGTTGTAGATGAGAGCTACTCTATCATAAAATCGCAGGTGGATAGCTAGAGGGGTGCAGGTATGATGTCATATGTTATTTCAGAATGACATACCCCACAGTGATATGGTATATGCATATATCGTCTTATGTACACCCCGAATCGTACCTAGAGGTCATTCAGAGCGCGTTGCAAAAAGAAGCAAGTGAATAAACGATGTCGTGGTGAGGATATGACATATGCACAGAAGGGGGAGTTGGCTCGAAAATGCGGCCTTCATATGTTTTTGTGTGGACCTCTGATCACTTCGCATCTTGTTGCATTACGTTTATATGTATATGGAGAGCTCAGATCGTCAGTTGTATGCTTATCGGTGAAGGATTGAATACAGGCCATGATATGTCATTATTCTATGACATAGAGTATAGCGAGATAGCATGCGCTCCGATTGTTATTATGAAAAGCGGAACAGAACGGGGTGTTCTTCTGCTCAACGATGCAGAAAGAATATTGAAGAATGGTCGAGAAGTGGTTGAGATATGTCAGATGGGTCTAGAACGGCAGGTTGCACAAAGGACGCCCTTGAACCACCTACACTACTTTGCACACTTCAAGCTCATCTGACATATCTCAACCACTTCTCGACCATTCTTCAATATTCTTTCTGCATCGTTGAGCAGAAGAACACCCCGTTCTGTTCCGCTTTTCATAATAACAATCGGAGCGCATGCTATCTCGCTATACTCTATGTCATAGAATAATGACATATCATGGCCTGTATTCAATCCTTCACCGATAAGCATACAACTGACGATCTGAGCTCTCCATATACATATAAACGTAATGCAACAAGATGCGAAGTGATCAGAGGTCCACACAAAAACATATGAAGGCCGCATTTTCGAGCCAACTCCCCCTTCTGTGCATATGTCATATCCTCACCACGACATCGTTTATTCACTTGCTTCTTTTTGCAACGCGCTCTGAATGACCTCTAGGTACGATTCGGGGTGTACATAAGACGATATATGCATATACCATATCACTGTGGGGTATGTCATTCTGAAATAACATATGACATCATACCTGCACCCCTCTAGCTATCCACCTGCGATTTTATGATAGAGTAGCTCTCATCTACAACTATCTGATGCAGCACTTAGCCGATCATTTGAGTGCTTGTATATGTTCCTGTATTGCACGCATTTTGGGAGGTTTGAGGGCTCAGTGCAGGCACACCCAGGAAGGTGTGGCCATTGAATTGTGTACCATTAGGTGCGCATTGTGAATAAAAGTAGATTACAAAAAGAACGGAGGGAAACGGAGAGGAGGGGGAGGCAGGGTGCAGGTACAGCGAGCTCACTGTCGGGCACAGCGAGCACGGGTGGCGGGGCAGGGAGGCGCGCGGCGCCGACGCGGGAGATAACGTGGGCGTGGGCGCGGGAGATAACGCGTGCGGGGGCGGGAGAGATAACGCGGACTGATGGGAGATCTGAAGGATGGGGACACGTGATGGGCTGGGGGACTTGGAAGGGAGGGCGTTCGAATACTTCCCTTCAGGGAAACTGCCTCGGGTTTATTGAGGACATTATTCAAACATGCGCGGGAGCACGGATTCAGGTCTCCTTAGCCCGGGCCATCCCCCCCGTGCCCCAGGCTAAGGGGACCTGATTGATGTGAGGTCCAGGTGTCGCAAGCATTGTCAACGCAGCCCGGTGACCTAGAGCGTCTGCGATGTTCTGTATTCCACTCAGGAAATAGAGCCGGCCCGTCGGCCCGTCGTCGTCCCTGGCGACAAGAGCCGGTCTTTAAGCAGCGTGATGGCGCGCCAAGCCTTGGAATGGTCGCGAGGCACGACGAGAGCACAAAACAGGACTCTCGACAACTCTGAGAGCTCCTAAGTTGAACTAATGTCCGGATTCCCTCGAACAGGCCCCTAGACAGCCAAGCGAACGCAGTAAGTACATTGAAGATGCAAGTCTGCCCATTGTTTCCAAAGGGCGAGATTTGCTGCCCACCTCTGTCACCGTCGACCCCAGTGTCGTGACTGTCGTCGGGCGATCGTCGAGAACGGATTAAGCGCATATAGACACCGTCGGCGGTCGTATCAGAATGTTCTGCACGCGTCGTCCACGCCGATTTAATTGTGCGCGACTCCGCCGAATATTGATCTGCCCCCACCGCGGCACGTGAAGCAGACTAGGGCCGAGTCCTATGCCGGTCGCGTACGCGTGGGCGTGGACGATAAAACGACGGTGCGGGCGCGCGACGGCCTCCATCTCTTTTCTCTCCTCCACCTTCCTTTCCCCGTGGTCCGGTCTCGAAGGCCCCTCCTTTCCTTCAGCCCGCAGCTAGTCTGTCACTGTTGTCTCTCCTGCAGCAACCACAGCTAGTCTGTGTCTCCAGCCGTTCGTCCAGCCCGCTCAAGCCCAGCGCTCCTTCCGCCTTCCTCGATCGTCAATATGGTCAGACTCGTCTCTGTCTTCGTCATCGCCCTCGGCAGCATCGCGTCCGCCGCGCCCATCATGCGCCGCGCGTTCCAACTCCAGGAGTGCGTTCTCTCTCTCTCTCTCCTTTCTGTCTTTCGATCGCCAGTCTAACGCGCCCGGTGTCGCGCAGCTACGCCGCGTTCCAGATCTCCGATGGCGTCGCCGGTAACGCCGCCGCGGAGGCGAACGCCGTCTTCGTCACGCCCTTCAGCGGCGTCGACCTCGCGTCCGTCGACTCGACCACCCTCAAGGCCGTGCAGACCATGCGCGAGGCCGCTGAGGCCGCGGAGACCGACCAGTTCAACCCCGCGATCGAGGCCGCGACCGGCGCGACCGCGACCGCGCTCCAGAACGGTAAGATCAAGAACAAGGTCCTCAAGCTCACCGGCGAGGTCCAGGCGCTCCAGATTCAGGTGCGTTGCGCTCGCTGTGCCGCGCTGGAGTCGCGAGGGCGCGAGGGCTGACGCGACGACTTGCGGGCGTGCAGCTCGCCCAGGCCAAGGCGGCGGGCAAGTCGACGTCGAGCATCCAGTCCAACATCGCGGCGGAGCAGAAGAAGCTCGACACGAACATCGCGATCGACACCAAGAACGCCGGCCAGGCGTCCAAGGGCGTCACCTCCTCTTCTTCCGCGGCGTCCACCGCGGAGACCGCGAACGAGGACGTCTCTGCGACCCCTGCCGCGTCCTCCGGCACGTTCACGCTCAAGGAGTGCGTCTTCTCCTCCCACTTCTCTCCGCGCGTGTGCTGACGGCGCGCGACCGCTCTCAGCTACGCCGCGTTCCAGATCTCCGACGGCAAGACCGGCACCGCCAAAGCCGAGGCCGAGGCCGTCTTCGTCACCCCCTTCGCCGGCGTCGACCTCGCCACCGTCGACGCCGCGACCCTGGACGCCGTGCAGACCATGCGCGAGGCCGCCGAGGCCGCGGAGACGGACCAGTTCAACCCCGCGATCGCCGCCGCGTCCGGCGCGTCCGCGACCGCGCTCCAGAACGGCAAGATCAAGAACAAGGTCCTCAAGCTCACCGGCGAGGTCCAGGCGCTCCAGATCCAGGTGAGCCCCCTCCTCGACCCGCGCGCACGGGGAATTAAGTGCTGACACCGTCGCCGTGCGGCGGCGTTTGCAGCTCGCGCAGGCTCAGGCCGCCGGCAAGTCGACGTCGAGCATCGCGTCGAAGATCGCGGCGGAGCAGAAGAAGCTCGACTCGAACATCGCGATCGACACCAAGAACGCCGGTCAGGCGTCCAAGGGCGTCGCATGAGCTGCTCACCCCTGCTCGAGCGAGCCTGGACGTGCGCGCCCTCCCCCTGCTTCGCTAGCTGTGTTACCCCCTGCACACATCCCCGCTCGTTTGCTGCATGTCCGAGACACTTTGTACCGTTAGCTGCCCCCTTTTTCATCTTATCGGAAACGGAGAGAAATCAGTCATATCTCTTGTGTGCTGTGTGATTCGCAAGGTGTGGTTGTTGAGTCGGGCAAGGAGTTTGCGTGCTCGAAGTGCTCATAGCTCGCCGTATGAGTTCATGACTATCAATTCAAGGGACTTGGGGAGGTAGGGGTGTTCGAGTGTTTGTATGCGCACTGGACATGAATTTGTGGCTAGACACTGGACAGCCTGCCACTACTTTCCCCTGATCTCCCACTGCAGCTCCGACAGGCGACAGCGCCTTCACCTCCCATACTTTCTCCAGCGCAATCGCACACACTCACTCGCAAATCCCCGTCATCATTCCCTCCCGCTCGTCGCCAGTCATGGCAACGTCGCCTTTTCAAACGTCGCCCATTCCGCCTCCCCTGCCTCTGCCACCGTGACCACCTCGCCCTCGCCCGCGTGCGCCCGCCCTGCGCCCGGTGCACGCAGCACCAGCCCAGGATCGCATCCCGCACGACAAGCCGGGCCCCGCGAGCGCGCGCGCGAGGGTTGCATGGCCGTCCGCCGCGACTCGGCGAAGCTGCCCTCCGTGTCCGGGCGCGCTGCATACGCCATGCGTCGACGCCGCGCACGCAGTCGAAGCTCTCGTGCACCCCGACGAGCGGCGTCCGCGCGCGCGGCGTCTGTTCCGTGTTGCGCTCGCGATGAGAGGGATGGGCGTCGAGTCACACCCGCGTGTCTAATTCATGTGCGGACGAAAATGCATGAAGACCGCGGGTGACGGGATGCCAGATCCTTGACTTCTCGGCGAAGCGACGGCCAAAAAGGAGTTTCCTGGTACTGCGTTAGAGGGAGATGATATTGGTGACGGTTTGCACCCCTTATCTTTTAGTCTGTGTTAAGGGATATGAAGCAGACGAAAGGGGTCGCTGGCAAGACGTGTTGCATGTCGCACCATCGTTATAATACAAGCTGCCTCTACGGGGCCATTGAGTGCCACCGATTCCGCACAATAGCACTTCTCCTAGACCTCGCCGACCTTCTTGACGCCTGCAACGACTCTGTCGTTCCGCCTCCAGAACTCGATGATGACCTCCGCCATGCGGGTCGGGTCGTCCTGGTGCATATCCGATCAGCATCAGCGGCATAACAGATCAAACAAGCAATCCTCACTTCGTGCACCAGGTGGCCGACTCCGGGGATCACGACCAGCTGGAACTTGCCTTGCATCTGTCCAATCATGAGCTCCTTGTCGAGCCGCTCCGTGCCCGCGAGAATCAGGAGGCGGGCCGTTCTCGAAGACAAGAATTTGGCTGACAAGCCCGTGAACCAACCTATAGGGGTCGACCGTGAGGATCTATGCGTCGTCGAGTCAACGGAGACGCCTACTGGTCCAGTAAGGCGCGGTTGAGCGCAGAGATATGCGCCATAGATACGCAGGAAGGTAGGCGGGAGATCCCTCCGGAGCCGGGACGACGATACTTGGAACAGAAACCCTCGCCGAGTATGGATTACGGATCGTGTTCGTCTGCACGCTGGAGACATGCATTGTTGAGCATTTGATCGTAGATTCGAGAAATGGTGGAACTCACTGCCATTCGATGGCCTCCTCTACGCTGTCGAACCCCTCGGGACGCGCATTGAGGAGACTGTGCATCAGCGGCAACGCATCCAGCGTGAACTCTGCAGGGGAATATCAGACACGTCGACAGCTTGAGTGACAGGCACGAAGACCGAGCTTACCTTCTACGACATCGACCACTGCTACTCCAGTGACCTGGAACCTGTGGTCCTGGAGTTTTGGGCATGCCCGGACGCATACAGATCCTCCAAGACTGTGTCCTACAAGCTGTGTCTAATCAGTCTGCCGTGTACCAACCGAGTGCCGACGTTTCAAGGCTACATATATGCGCATGAGGAAGCAGTACTCACCACCAACGAAGGAGCGACGTGAACATCGGCGAAAATGACCCTGACGAGGTTGACCAAATCCGCCGTCAATACCTCGATGTCGAGCGTTTCCGTCTCAGGTGTCTTGGGTTCCTTAGAGTGATAAGTCTTGCCTAGAACGCGTGAGTGAAGATATCATGTTAGAACGGGTTATCAGGACGCACCGTGTCCCCTGACATCGAACGCTAGCACGCCACACTCGCCCCTGCTCTGATCTGTGATCTCCTTCGCCATGCACGCGAACGAAAGCCCCGAGAAGCCAGCGCCGTGGTGGCACACGATCACAGTGCCATCCTCGAACTTCGGGGGCGTGTAGTACACGCGCACGTCGAGATCCGAGTCCGGGACGGACACTTGCATTGCTTGGTCGAAGAAGCCAGAGGCGGAGATTGGGGCCATGGTGGGGTTGGGCGGGCGTTTTCGAGAGGCGCGAGGAGTGCGCGAGGGCCTAGATAGCCATATATCAGTGAATGCGAGAGATGTTTTCGGTGGAGAACGTACGCCGCGGGGGGTCCGTATCCAGTCGGGAGAGAGGGCACAGAGTCACCGGCCTCATCTTCTTCTTCTTCATTGGGAAGCGGTGGGAGCATGGGGGCTTTGGCGAGGCGCGCTTGAACCGACGAGCGAAAGAGGTCGGACATTGTCGGGGGCGGAAGACGACTGAGAGCCAGGTGGATGGAAAGAGTTCGAGCTCAAGTGCAGAGATCGCGACGCGCGAGCTGCGCGCGCATCATCTTATCTTATCTGCAACATGTTCCACTGCGACGTCTGAGGCGACGGTGGTGACGCAGAGGTCGCCTCGACATCTCTTTGCATGCTACCACCATCTTCCAACCTGTGTATCAGACTTCAGTCAGCTCCTCCAGAGGCTCAATCTTGGATTTGACACCGATTCTCTTGCAATCTGACAAGGCTCAGCGGTGAATACTACTAACTGGTCCTCCTGATGCCTTTTTTCTACTCCACCTCCACTCACTTCGCGATGCAATTGCCGGCAGTCATCCGCCAGGTTTCCAACTGGCCACAGCTACGCCCGCCGTGCAATTACCCCCGCCCCAGGAGCTGCACCAAACGCTCACCATGCAGCCCTTCACACCGTCTCTGTGGAGCCGTAGAGCTACTTCTCCCTGACCGCACCTCTGCGCTTTTCGTTGGGTAACGTCAGGCGGAGAGAGTTCCTCAGTCTTTCCAAACCCACCTCGCCTCGTTCAAGCCATGCAGTCCTGGCGGCCCTGGCGGAACAAGAGCCGTTCTTCGACGCCAACTTCATCCAGGCGAATGCCGCTGCTGATGGGGACGAGAACCATACCCGGGACCGCGAGGATGAATCGACGCGCGCAAGCAAGGACATGAACGCCTCTCCCGTACCTTCCACCGTCGGCAGATCTGCCAGAGGGTTGATTTCCCCGACGGCGCCGCTCCTACATCTACCCGCTTCTCAGGCGGTGCAATTATCTCGTGCTCTCCCATCGTCCACCGTTCCGCACACAGGCGGACGGTCCCAAGCGGCGACGGCGGTGCGGCTCGTCGCGTGTGCGCCACGACCGCCAGCAGGTACGACCTGCCGCGAGGTTCTGGGGCGACAGTGTGGGTGCCACCGGTGGGACGCTATAAAATGCAGGTCCGCGCACTCGCCCCCCGTGCTCCGCGCTCACTGACACCGTCCGATCTCTTTCTCCTTCTCCTAACAGCACGGCTTTCGAGCGCGGGTCGGCCACGGGCACGGACGTCGACGTCGAGCCCGCTCTGCCACTGCCTCCCGCTTGGGGCACCAGGGCGCGGCATCGACGAAGCGCACCAAGATGATTGTGAACACGCACCCGTGCGCCGTGCTGCTGCTCGTGTGCGCGGCCCCATCTCTATCCACGGTACCGACACGGTCGTGGAGAGGCCTGTCGGCCTGCGCGTCGCGACGACCAGACCTGCTCCGCTCGCGTCCCTTGTTAAATGGCAGGGGGCGGTCGTCGATGTGGCCGTCAAGGTACGCTGGTTGGTGGTCGGTCGCGGGGCCCGCGCCCGCCCGCGCGGGAAGTAGGACGGTGCATATATACATTTGGTGCTTTACAGTACTACGGTAAGACTAGGTAATGCCGTAGTCGGCGTACGTTGGTAACAAGAAGACGTGCAATCCAGTCTGGAGTGATCAAGACACGCCCTCTGTAGTAGGTTTCAAACGTCGCCTACGTTGCGATGGAAGCGCACCACCCCGCGCCGATCCGACCAGACCGCCATCGACCCGTCGTACGTGACTGCCACTCGATCAACGTCTTCCTCGTCGTCGAGGGTAGGAGTTCGGTACAGCCTGCCATGCAGCGTGCTCCAAAACCACCTTCCGCGTTCCGTACCGCCAGACCGCCAAATATGCGGGTAGCGGTTTTCACCATTGATGAATACCGAACGCCGATCGCCCCCGAATGGTCCCGCCAGTGTCTCTCCGGTGGTGGTGTCCACAATGCAGAACTGCGGTGCGGCGAGAGGAGGATCGGAAGGCCCAGGCTCCGCGGCGTCGACAAAACACAACGCGCGAGTCCCGTCGGCGGATAAGGCCATGAAAGTTCGGATCCCGCGGATTGAGAACTCCTTCGGAGGAGAACTACGTGCGTCTTCTTCGCCGCGGTGCACCGCTATGAAGGAATTATCGTGTGTTGCCCTCGGAAGTCCAAGCACAGTGAAGTCGCCGCGCTCGGATCCACGTCGCAGCACGGCTGTGAACAAATATCCTATTGCACCGTAACGCCAGCTCCGGAGGTTGGCCAGATTGGGGTCACTTTCCCTTGACTCTAGATCAACGACATGCATATGGCTGCTGTATGAGCGCGCGGAGGGCCCTCGGAGTCCCCGGCGTTCTTGGTAGATCAGAGCATAAGGGGAGTTTACTGAGAGAATAGCTTTGACAAAGAAGCCTGGGACAGAAGGCAGGTGAAGCACGCGAAGGCGAGTCAAGCCTTCCGCATCCCAAAAGTGAAGGGCCATCGAGGACACCAGGGCAATAATTTGAGCGCCATCTGGGGACCAGCTTGAAGCGAGGATCCGTTCGTTCTCGGTACCTGCCACGATGATTCCCGTTTCCCGGGGCTCTCTGCGAGGGCCATGATCTTCCTCCTTTTGCATGGGAGGGAGATAAAAGACGACGATTTGACGACCGAAACAACGGAAGAGGCCAGTGTTTGACGGAGAAAAGGCTAACGCACTACTTTCAGAGCGTTCATGTATGAATGGTGGTATGGTGCGATACCAGCACTGTAAAGCGAGTCGTCCTCCGGCGCGAACATCCCAGATCACGACTGATTGGTGTGAGACCCGCCTCGCCTCGCCTCTGCCTGCTATGCTGCTGCTGGCTGCCCACGCCCCATCCGGAGAGATGGTCAGATGATCCACCGCAGTGGGATGTCCGTACAGTTCGGGTGAGAACCCTTCTGTGAACCCAGAATTTAGCGGAGATTGAACGATCGAGTGGGCAGCCTAATGAAACACACCAGAATACACAAAATCAACCTGAAGAAGCTTCGACTTGTGTAGTGACGCGAACGTGCGCTCCAACGAATCCCTCCAGGTATCCACGAGATTCTGCATCGAGTTCTTGACTAAGAATTTGACTCCGTTCGTTCCAAGAAACCTATGGTCGGTCACGAGCTGTGTAAAGCTGTGGAGGGCCGTCTGCTGGTCGCTGCTGTGCTCCGAACCAATGCAATGCGCCAGAGATCCATCTAGCGTGATGTCCAGGGCCCGCAGCGATTGCGGGAGACCACGAGCCATTAGTGTATTCAGTTTCCGGAACGGCACGGGGTCGGAGAAGGCTACTACTACATCCGAGATTTTCCCCGTCAATTGCACAGAGAGATTTTCGAGATTGGTGCAGGTCGCACATGGAATGTCTGCAAGTGTCGATGAGGGTGGGTCAGAACCTGCTCATCGTGTGGTTAACGGGTACTGCGTGCCATACCTGCTACTGTGAGCCATTCCAGACCGCCGAGATCGAGGTGTGTCAACGTTCTGGCAAGGACCTCGAAAATCTCCAAGGGCCAGATAAGGATAAGCTGTCCGGAAAAGTGCTCTAAAATCTCTTTGTGTGAGGCACGGACAAGCTGCAGCACTCATATAACTCAGTCTTTTCCATAACTTCGTGGGCTCAACTCGGTGTCTCGTCTCACCTTGAGACGCGAAAGCCTCCCTCGTGTTTTCATTGAGATGAGGGCTTGGTTGGCGGAGGAGGCTTCAAAGTAGGAGTAGGACAGTTCAAGGGACCGGAGGGCGGGGAACGCATGGACTAGTCGGTACATATGAAGCGGTGTGGGAAATGTAGTGTCTTCGACGACCAAGGTCTTGACTGCGGTGTATCGCCGAAAACAGGCCAGGACACCAGATGGAAATCCATTGTTACAAAATTCGATTTCCCAAGTGTCGATGTGCGCGAGATACGGAAGGAGAACCACAGGGGCAACCCAGGGGAACGACTTGCGGATTCCAATGAGCCTCACGGTGTGGACCAACATACACAAGTCCGGGGAGAGTTGAAACACTTCAGAAATCGAGTGGAGTCCCTTCAAGCTGGAGACTTTGACTTTTCTCCAAATGTGGATGCGACTTCTGGGGAGCCATCTCGTGTGGACTCGGGCGCATGAGGTGAGCGTGGCAAGGTCGGTCTGGGCGCCGAGTGCGTCGATCACCTGCTCGGTGACTTCTATGGGGAGACGTTCTGAGGCCATCGAAGAGCAGCAGGGTGGATTTCGAGGGCTGATCGCAGACCGATGAGACGTAGATGTGGTATAGCTTGTAGTGTACACGCGATACACCGTGGATAGACTGGCGGTGGGCGCGTTAGAGTCACATTCAGGCTCCGCGCCAAACCATGGGCGGTCCGAGGTTGCATCCAAGCGCGGTCTTGCTGCCTACCTCGCTCCCTGGATTTCCTGAACCCTTCGAGCGACGCAACCAAGGACTAAGTACCAGACGACGACAGCTCGAGCCCTCACACCAGCGACAGAACGCACTGGCCAAAGTGGCTGACTCCGACCTTCAACGCGGACTTGGGGAAGGAAAGCACCGCCATGTCTCTGTTACGCTCTACACAACGTCGAATGTACCACGGAGCGGAGCGATGCGCTTCTAGGCTCTACTACCACAGCCCACATACCCCGCTACCCTGCGCAACATCGCGGGAAGCCCGTCTAGACACCGGAGTCCACCGCGAATGAGGGACGAGGGACGGTGGACCGAATCGTATGTACCTTTTCTAAGGAACCCAGACCTCGGACTCGCTTCCTTCCCCCCCCTCCGCATGCACCGCCCGACCAGTCCCGTCTGTCCGTCCACGCGCCGCCGGTCTCACGGCGTCATGATCTCTGCGGTGTAGGGGTGGCGGAATGACCGCTGCTGCTGCTGCTGCCGCGCCTCGAGCGGGCTGGGCTCGGACACGGCGTACGCGCCGTCGTAGAAGTCGTCGGTCGAGGTCGGGTTGCTCGACGCGTCGTTGCTGATATTTTTGTCCGTCCCACCGTCCTTTCGCACGTCCGTTTGCGCGGGCGTGTGGATGAACGAGTGATGGAGGCGCGGAGGACGGCGTCCACGTACCGCGGTGGGGGTTGGTCGCGCGGAGCACGCGGGAGACGTCGATGGAGGTGTACTGGTTTTTCATCTCGCCGAGGATGCTGAGCGACGGGCGCGAGTTTGAGGCTGGGGAAGAAGTGCAAGGAGAGTGCAGTCAGAGCGCACGCCATAGGTGGGGACGGGGGCGCGGTTTACGTGACGAGGAACGCGTTGGCGTAGATTGTTGGGTGGATGGTCAGAGGGACGGACGGGCGGGGAGTCGGAAATGCACGCACGCTTCGTGAGGATGATGGAGAGCGCGGCGTAGATGAAGTTGTCCGCCTCCTTGGCGGACTTTGCAGGGGGAGGCGCGGCGTAACGATGAGCGGGGCGGGTGAGGGAATGGCACTGACATAGGTGCCGTTCATGATGTGGACGATGCTGGTGCAATGCCAAGTGAGCACATGTCCGCCGCGTATACTACATCGCTCACACTGCAGGTGACTCAAATCTTGCGACCACGACACTCACCAGTCGAGACCGAACCGCTCTTCCAGCCTGCTTTTCCGGTGCGTTTCATGTGTACCGATCCGCGCTTGCGACTGAAGATTAGAGTCGAATAGTGCTGGCATCCACGATGTTGAAGTCGTCCACGCTCTGGGAGTGGCTCAAATACTCGGCGCGCGAACCCCACCTGCCTGGACTCAAATCGAGCAAACCCCTCGCTTGCCTTCAGATTTGAATTTACAGTGGCTCGCAACGCTGCTGAAGTCCTCGATCCAGGCGACTGGGGATTTGTGGATTGGTGCCCTTGCATACGAGCAGGACAGGGATTATTGATGCGCTGCAGCTCGGTTCGGCGCCTGTGGGTTGTTCTGAGGAATGGGCCCGGGACCGACTCGTGGAGGTGAGTTCGGGGACATCTCTCGCTGGGGATTCTACCGACGCCGCCTGCTATCTGGGCATGTCGGGTCAGTATGGGGGTCCCCGGCGGATGTCGCACGAGACGGGTTCTGTCGATTGTAAGCTGATTCAACTCTCATAGCGTTCCGTCGTTGCCTCGTCGTGAAGGACACGGCTGCGCTCCTCAAGCTCGAGAACAAAGAGGGCATCCCGCGGGAGTCCGCCTACCTCGGCCCGTTCAGCGCGTCCACATCCCAGCGTCGCGTTCTGGCCGACCACGCTCCAGCAAAGACCAGGCTGATGCTCATAGAGTGAGTTCGCAAATTCCGAACTTCCGGGAGACACCGTCTTCGTCGAGGCCACTTCAGGCACGGTCGGCGCGTGAGTGCCTTTTTGCGGCGTCACTGTCCCGACAGAATTCTGGAGGCTGATCAGTGTACGCGCCGCCCGCAGCATCGTCGTGCAGCTTTCCAAAGCGAACGGGTGCCGCGTGATCGTGTCCACGGGCGCGCACGAGAAGTTCGCGTACGTCGCGTCGCTCGGGCCCGACGCCGTGTTCAACTACAAGCTGGTGCCGACAACGAAGGTCCTTGAAAGGGAGGGCCCGATCAACATGTGAGTCTCCCCTCCCCGGCCGTCCATGACATCCTGAAGACTGGCTCCTTGCCAAGGCGTGCAGCTATTGGGATAACGTCCGCGGAGAGGTGCTCGAAGCCGCGCTCAAGCAGGCGGCGACACACGCGCGCGTGATCGTGCGTCCCCTCCCAGTCGCTGCCCTCTTTCGCGTCGCGTTCTCCCATCGTCGCTGGCGTCGTCGGTTTCAATTTAACTGGATCTGCGGGAGCGCCTCGACGTACGGCACCGCGGGGCCGTACGACGTCAAGAACCTGCAGGTGCCACCGTGGAAGGAGATCCGCATGAACGGCTTCCTCGTCGCTGCGCTCGAGCCGAAGTACCAAGAAGAGTTCTACCGCGAGGTGCCGGCGAAGCACGCGAAGGGCGAGGTCAAGTACAAGGAGGACTTTGTGCGCGGGCTCGAGAAGAGCCCGGAGGCAATCGTGGAGGTGCACAAGGGTGATGACTTTGGGAAGAGCGTGCTCGTTGTTGGGGAGGAATGAGAGCGATGTTCGAGTCTTGTGCTCAGAGCCCAGGTGTTGACTTTGGACAAGTGTAACAACAAATATATTCGCATGCGGCGCGTCTTCAGCACAAGACTGCTGCGCGCAAAACCGACGCGCGACGTGTGCGTGACCACGAACTGTCCCAGAGTCCTACCAAGTCCTTCCGCTAGCCTGCGGAACTGTACTCGCCCTCAACTTCACCCGGCTCTCCCGCACCCTTGACCTTGGGGTGCGAACTCCAGAGACAAGCGGGCTTGCGCTGGCAGGACATGCAGGGGAGGGGGACAGACCGGTGAGTTATTTTGTGCGTATAGATCGTCAGATCGGTGTTGACACTCACGCTGTAGTCGAGGGATGGGCTGTCATATACCAGACTAGTCCCCCGTAGCCGATCTCAAGGGTATGCTTCCTTCGCTATCCTCCTGTATGCGTGTGCGCGACGTGTCCACCCCGTCTCAAACAGGTGCAGGACGAGCTTCCGCGCACTCGCCTGCCCCGCTTGCGGCCTGTCCAGCGCGCGCTCACCCCCCAGGGCGCAACCTCCGACGCGGGTGACTGTAAGCAGAGGACCGTCAGTCGGCACGCCAAAACCGCCCTCTGAAGTGAAACGCACCATGATCGAACCGTCTTCAAGAGACGCACTCCGAGCACATCCTTTCCGCGGAACCACCACGACGTCCTTCGCCACCCGCAGTGGGTCCGTCGAGCGCGCTGATGAGCGTCCCGCCCCGCGTGAGCAGCCCAAGCCTGGCGCGCAGCGTCTCCTCGCTCGGTATATCCCGTCGTGCACCAGCACGGACGCTGGACGCCCCGGGTCGCCGCGACGTCGGTGACAGAGGGCGCGGTCGAAGACCCGTGTGGCGTCGTAGGCCTTGACGAGGTCGGCACGGTTCGCGGTGGCGATCAGGCCGGGCGCGAAGCGAAGAACCGTGCCCGCGCCCCCGATGGCCACCGCGGGCTTCCCCGCCACGCCCACCTGGAGTCGACCAGGGCGTGGGGTCGGCACTGAGCGCGGTGAGGTGGTACAGCGGTGTAGGAGGCGAGCGGCGATGTCAAACGATATGTTGTCGGGGATCTGTGGACCTTGGACTGAGACGAGGGTGGATGGGGAACGGGTGGGTGCACGGACCTTGGAGGCGATGCCTGCGATGATGCGAACGCAGTGCTGGACCCGGGTGTCGGCGACGCCGCCGCGGAACTTCCAGCCAACAGAGTTGAGCGCGGTCGACTCCACCTTGACGATGGTGTCGGTGTCGTGGGGTATCCGGGTCGAGACGTCTTCGACGCCGAGCTTGCCCCTCCAGCGACGACGAGGACTTTGTGCGATGTCGCTCCGGATGCTGTGCTAGAGGTGTGTGGAAAGACGGATACGAAGTCCGGTAGGTCGTGGAGAGCACACCGAGCGCGGTGGTTTAGCAATGGCCACCTGCGTCTTCGATGGCCTGTGAACCACCTCTGCGGGGGTGGTGGCCTGTCATCCCCGCGGGTTTGTTGCTGACTGAGCGGACCAGGCTTGAGCGTTCGTTGAGATCGACGCCCGTCACGCTCCTCCTTCCCCTACGTTTTCTGCTGGGCGTCCTTGAATTCCGCCCCGAGCGCGTCACGGTGTTGGAATTCCGAATCTTCAACAACGAAGGCCAACCTAAGGGATCAAAGAGAGCTCAGTGTCTACACCGGTGCACGTAGCGGAAGCTACCCGGGCCAAGTGAAAGCCGACTCGAGCGAATGCGCGAAAGTGAATATAGAGAATGACGTATCGCGAGTCACAGGCGACACCCCTTGTCCCCACGAACGGCCCCAAAACGGTCTGACGAACACAGAGGCGAGCGGCCGACATGAGCTGGAGGTGGAAAGAAAAGGTTCGTCCACACGAAGGGGCGTGTTGGAAATTCTGGGAGCGGCGGGTGGAGTAGAAGAACGCACCTTGAAGCTTGAAATTTCTTCTCGGCGGTCTTGCCGCGAAGCCGTGGCACGTTACGGAGCTGTGGAACGAGGTCGCAAAGCCCGTGCAGCCTCAAAAGATGTCTATGAGAGAGAACAAAGCGATGTCAGCTTACTTCGTCGTACTCAAGTTTGTTTGCGTGCATGGCCGTTCTTGGATATGTATCTACGATTGGCCTCAACGGAGTGGGTTGATCACGTGATCTCATCTTGAGGACAAGTGTAACCCCTGCACAACAGGTGCAACCATGCAGATAGGGTGTATAATGCACCGGAGGGCGTTGGGAAATACCACGTACCCATAACCACAGCCTTTCCGACCTGCCACAAGAGACCGCGCGGAATGGTTCATGTTGGATGAGCCGGGTGTGTTGGCGACTTCGAGGTCAACCAGGTAGTTGAGTGATATGCAAATGAGCCTGAAATGGCAGGCGCGAGAGGAGAGTACAGCGATGTGTGTCATCAGCGGATATGCGGGGTGGGCGAAGATGGAGGTAGAGGACAAGTGCGGCAGCCACCTCGCGGCCCGCGCTCACTAGCCGACCGGGATCCGCGCCCGGCACGTTGTGCTCTTACTCCTCTCTGAGCCACTGCGCAAAATACCCTTTCAGTGTCGCGATATACGCCAATGCAACTGGCCTGCGACACAGCGCATAGTCATCCGGACATGTGAGTTCAAAGCACTGTTCTTCGTCGCACCGATACTCAACTCTCCGCTGCGGCAGCACCCAGCACAACTTTGAAGATATTCTGTTTATTCTGCGGGTTCCTTACATCTTGTGAGTGTCCCAAAAGGGCTAGAACCCGAGTCGTCGGGTTACCCGACTGTCATCTGCTGAACTCTTAGCTCGGTACTCAATGGCAGCTTCTGTGGCAACTTAGGAATGACACTCCTATCCCTCGACTGAGAGGCGAGCGCTGCACCTTCCGCTGTTCTCCCCTGCCGCCGACTTCCACACTCAGCATACTTCGACCCTCCACGACCACTGTTCACGCCCCCCGAGCTCCATTTCATGCGCGCGGCAAATACCAGGTCTTCAAATCCGTGAAATTCGCCTTCTTTCACCCAGCCAGCTTTGAAATCCTCGTCTAACCCATGGTGTACACGCTTTTCGAGCGGTTCCGCATGCTCTGCGAGCAACACGGCATCCGCAGGCTCTCTCGGGAAATTATCTCTAGGTCCTCCAAGTGTCCAGCATTTCTCCCCTGGCCGTCGCCGCCTCTCCCGCGAACACCGACTTCGCACGTGAGAAAGGGCGTGAAGGCGGTCACGACGTAGGATATCATGACGCAGAACCGTGTGTTCCGGGCGGAGCTCGAGGACGGGTCGGTCTTAGTACGTCGCTCCTTCCTTACTTCGTCCTTCGACAAGTTGTGGTGACGGCTTGTGAGGTTGCAGTCCTTTGTGCCGGACGTCGTGCCTAGGGGTTGCCCACGGCACTCGAACACGTCCCCCTCAAGGTTCGTCCACTTGACATCGCATGAGTATCCGCCCGAGAAAGCTGACAAATCTCACGGAAGCAGGACAGAACATGACCGGCCTCTCAGACAACATTTCAACGCCCCAGCTCGCTCGCATTCACGGTCCGCGTGCTCGATGTCGCCACTTTGCAGCCCGCCATCACATGCACGAGTCGGTAGCGTGCGCTCGCACACCACCCCATCGTCGATGCGATGGAGCGCGCGGAGAGCGAGCGACTAACACGCAAGACATCCTTGACCACACTGTCGCCGACCGGGTTGAACATTCGGGGCTGGTATCAGGGCGTGCTGGATACTTGCAAGCGAAGTCGCGGCGACAGTCTCGGCCGACGAGGACTCGTTCAAGTTGACGTACTGTCCGTGTCTCGCTAGGCTTCGTGCGACTGCAGGCTGACCCTCTTCTCTCAACAGGCCTAGAAGATCTTAGCTGGTTGCCGTTCTACGACCTTCAGTAACTTGACGGCGGCCATGGCCGTGGCAGATAGTATCCTCTTGGTGCATCTGTCCCCGGCCTAGTGCCTTCTTTCTTCCCCACCCCTACCACTCACTTCGCGATGCAATTGCCATCCGGCCCTCATCTACCAGGTTCCCCTCCTTCCACAGCTGCGCTCACCATGCAATTACTCCCGTACCAGGAGCCGCTCGCCATGCAGCCCTTCGTACCCCCTCCGTTGAGCGGTACAGCCTGGCACTTCTCCCCATCCACACAGATCACGCACCCGCGCTTCCCGTTGAGCGCCGTCACGCAGCGAAAGTTCCTCAGCTTATCCACGCCCGGTTCGCCTCGGTCTAATGAAGAGACCCAGACAGGGCCGTGGAGGAAGAAGAGCCGTCATTCGACGCCGAACCATACCCAGGACCGCGAGGATGGATATACGCCCGCAAGCAAGGACAAGAGCGCCTTCCCCGTACCCTCTACCCTCAGCAGCTCTGCCAGACGGTCCAGTTCGCCGACTGAGCCACTCACGCCTTCTATATCTACCCGGCGATACAATTATCTCGCGCTCTCCCTTCGCCCACCGTTCTGCACGCCAGTGGACGGTCCCGAGCGGCGGCGGCGGCGCAGCTCATCGCGCGCGTTACGAACACCAGCGGGCCCGACCTGCCGCGAGGTTATGGGACGACGACGTGAGCCCGACACGTCATCTGTCCCGTATACGCATTTCATTTCCCGCCAGATAGACTTGTACGTGTCGCCTACCATAGGGCTCGGCCCTCCAGGGCGTTAAACAGGAGACAAACAAACAAACAAACAAGCAGACAAACAAACGACGTGAGCCGGTGGGGCGCTCCAAATGACAGGTCCGCCTGCCCCTCTTTCTCGCTCCGCAGTCGCCGACACCGCGCGATCTCTTTCTCCTGAAAGCACTGCGACGCCAGCACGGCCTTCGAGCGCGTGTCGAGCATGGACACGGACGTCGAGCCCGCCACCTTGACCGATCCCGCTCTGCCACCTCCAGCTCGGGGCACCCAGTCGCAGTCTCGAAGACGATTGCGAACGCGCACCCGTGCGCCGTGCCGCTGCTCGTGCGCGCGGCGCTATCGCTGTCCGCGGTACCGAATAGGTCGCGGAAAGGCCTGCCGGCGTCGCGGCGACCAAACCCGCGCTGCTCGCGGCCTGAAGTGTGGACCTTGGGCAGGAGGTGGCCGTCGATGCGGTCGTCAAGGTGCGCTGATTGGGGGACGGTCGTGGTGCCGGGGCGTGGGGGAAGGAGGACGGGATGTTCGATTGGATGTGCGATCTCCCTGCAGGAGGGAGGGTAGAGCTCAAGGAGGAGTGGTGCCGCGCAGATTCGTCTGAGGAGTTTGTAGTTACAAGATAGCTCGTGGCAGTACCAGTCGGATCCATGGTGCACATATACATGCGGTGCTTCGCAGCACTGCGGGAAGACTATGTAATGACCCGTTGTTTCCGCATCGACAGCGTACATCAGTAACAAGAAAGCGTGCGATGATCAAGATACATCCTTTGTGGCTTTCAAACGTCGACTGCGTTGCGATGGAAGCGCACGACCCCGCCCCAATCCGACCATACGACCGTCGACCCTTCGTACGTGACTGCGACTCGATCAACGTCTTGTTCGTTGTCGAGGGCAGGAGTTCGGAAGAGCCTACCGTGCAGTGTGCTCCAAAACCACCCTCCGCGGTACGATGGACCTTTCTTCTCCCAGAACCGCCTAACATCCATTCCCCAGTCTTCACCAATGATGACCGAAGGCCGCTCGCCCCCGAATGGTCCCGACAGTATCTCTCCAGTGGCGGTGTCCACAACGCAGAACTGCGACGGTGCATCGATCAGAGAATCGGTAGGCGCCGCCGCCGCGTCGACGAAACACAACGCACGAGCCCCGTTGGCGGACAAAGCCTTTGCAGTGAGCCTGAGGAGTGGTGACAGCGCCGGAGGTGCAGTAGAAGAGCTGCGTGCGTCTTCTTCGCCGCGGTCCACCACGAGGGTACCGGCACTCGTCAGTGCGAGCACAGTGAAGTCACCGCGTTCGGGCCGAGTGCATGCCGCTATTGTAGCTAGGGACACTGGTCATATTTTTGACACTGTAGCCCAGGGATACCGCTCGGGTGGACTCATATGAGTGGGCGCTTTGTAGCCTCTGTTCCCACTCATATGAGTGCACAGCCACCTGTGTAAGCCGCCTTTCACTGCCTGTCTATAGCATTGTTACTATGCCACTACTATTACTGCTTTATTATCATGTAGCCCAGGCTGCCGCTCATATTAGCCTGTCGCTTAGGCTACCACTCATATGAGCCTGTCACTTAGGCTACCACTTGTATAAGCCTGTTGCTTAGGCTACCACTCATATTGGCACAGCGCTTATCCCGTGTATTGCCACTGTGGCTACTATAAATTTATATATGTTATAGCCTGCTGCACCTGTATGGTTACAAGCTTTGGTGTGCACCCACTACGGATCCTTAGCATATGATCATCCACCATCATTAGCTTTATATACCATTCCCGCACCTACCGTCTCACTTCACAATTGCCTCCTAGCTCCTCCCTGTTGCCTCTCCTACCCGTCTCCCCCGCTATTGTGAGCCTCCCCGAGGTCAAGTGCGTCCCTCTAATCTGACCTGACTTCCTGCTCATCTCCAACTTGCCCGACCTCCACGCTCCTGCGCTCTGCGACCGTAACATATACATATATACAAACACGTTCTCGCCCTTGCTTATAGTTACTAGTATTTTCTCTGAGCACCCATTCATGTCCATGGTATGTACACCAACTCCTGAGTGCCCGTTCTCAATCACACATGTGTGCAGACCACCTACCCTGGTTCATAGTATAGTATGACTCCGAACACCTGCCTGCAGCCTGGCAGGTGGTCAGTCAACTCCGAGTGCCTGCCTGCAGGTGGTCATTCAACTCCGAGCACCTGCCCGCAGCCTGGCAGGTGGTCATTCAACTCCGAGCGCCCGCGTTTGATGGTCATTCAACTCCGAGCGCCCGCCTGCAGGTGGTCGTTCAACTCCGAGCGCCCGCGTTTGATGGCTCTCTTTCTCCGAGCGCCCGACTGCCACACCCCGAGCCCGCACCCTCATTACCTTACCCTCCTCCGAGTTCTCCACCGTTCAACGACATCTCGGGCTTGTTTTATGCGCGTTTCTACCCTCTTTCTAACCAGCCGCCCCGTTTCACGATGCGAC